AAGAAGTCAGGTATGGGCCCAAAGGAGGCCAGGACCCTCATTATGTTCTCGCCATAATTTTTCATATAGTCTTCCAAACCTGTGGGAGGACAGTTGGTCAGAGGAAAGGCTAGAAATAAGAACATGGGCAATAGGCACAAATCCTACAGGCCGCTTTGTATAAAATAGCACAGAGGTGTGATAAGTACTGTCTACCTCTGTCTTGTGGGAGGCACTGCAGGAGCATGAGGCACTAGCGCTGTTGTTACTAGCTACTTGGTCCTTATATAAGTGATGAGAAGAATGCGTACGACATTCTTATATTAGGAGATGTATGAAAGTTAGAGTATTTTTATGGAAAGTCTCTAAAAAAACGCAAATAAAACCCATCGTAAAGACACTACTCATACCTTCGTATGAAGACTTACCGGTAGATATTTTTAGTTGTATCAGCATGTTGTGTACCTCACTGACACAATGTTTGCTCTACAATAATAAAATCAAAGCAGTCAAATCTGTAGTAGGTTTTCAGTGCATTATCCCTTTAAAAGATAATGCTCTCTTGTACAAGATAGAGGAGGTACAAAAGCCAAAGCTTTCAGGGAGAGTAGAAAAAGAAGATAGAGAGCCTGAGTGCTGCGATATCTGCCTGGAATGAATTAATGGATTGGAAGTCACAATAGTCTTAACAATCTTTTGATAACATGATCTTACTACTGTATCCTGTGCAGAAAAAAAAATCAGTAGATAGCTTCAGGATTGTAACAACAGGTAGATTTGGCACTGGTTTGAAGGCCGCAATGTGGACTCTCAGTTTTGGATTACTGGTGTGAGGGAGTACATTCATCACTGCCCATCAAAAGGCTGCTTTGTTCATCCAGGGCGTCCTTTGTGTGTGTGTGTGTGTGTGTGCACGCATGCTGTAAGGGTTACTCTGTGGGTTACACACTCCTTTATGATATTCTCCATCTACCTGAGGTTTATCTCTGTCTCCCTGACACATATTTTAGGTAACTACTCTGTCATTCTTTTGTATTACATGCAAACAAGAAATATGTGAAATTGTCTTTCCTTACAAAGAAAGACATTTCAGTATTAAATGACAAATAAATGAGTTTTATTGGAAAACGGTTTAAATAAAATACAATATAATAAATGAAATATATGCATCCCTTCAGTCATCACCTCTGAATTGTATATAATAATCACCTTTATTTGGCCAAGCATGTTACACACACAAGGAATTTGTTTCCGGTACAGAACCGATGGCAGCCATCTGCGGCACCAACTCACACCGATGGCTCTAACCATCGGGGCAACTTGGGAGTTCAGTGTCTTGCCCAAGGACACTTTGACACGTGGACTACAGGCACCGAGATTCGAACCTCCGACCCTCCGGTTGGGAGATGACTGCTCTACCCACTGAACCACAATTAATAATGTTGTCTGCTAGTATGACATAAAACTGTTATGGTCGCTCACTTGCAGGAACAAAGTGAGCAAGCAAGCAGGACAGGGCAGGAGAGGGCAGACACAACAGTAAAGTCACGTTCTTCATTGTGAGCAGTTAGCAGGTTATCAGGAGAGGCAGTGATTTCCGATGGAGACGTCCAATAGAGAGGTCTGGGTTGGTGAAGAGCAGGCTGAGTGGAGGGACAACTTAGTTGGAACCCACAGAGTGGAGATGAGGGAGGAGCATACCCAGCTGGAGTGCAGAGAGGCCCTTGGGAGGATGGTTATGACGTCAGGCTGGAGAACTGAGAGGTCACTTGGGAGGGCGACTACGATGCAAGGCTGGAGAACTGAGAGGTCGCTTGGGAGGACGACTACGACGCCAGGCTGGAGAACTGAGAGGTCGCTATATACACAAGACTGTACCTCTTCCCACCCCAGCAACACCATCATTAAGTTCGCTGATGACACCACTGTCGTGGGGCTTATCTCCGGGAATGATGAGTCCGCGTACCGGGATGAGGTAGAGTGGCTTTCTGGCTGGTGTCGGGAAAACAACCTGATCCTCAACACCGCCAAGACCAAGGAACTGGTGGTGGACTTTAGGAGGAATAAAACGGACATTAAACCACTGTTCATCGACGGAGATCAGGTGGAGAGGGTGGCCGCTTTTGGGTTCCTGGGCGTCACCTTTGAGCAGCACCTGACTTGGGGCGCTAATACCATTGCTTTGGTGAAGAAGGCCCAGCAGAGATTGTATTCTCAGTCTTTTGAAGAAAAACAATCTGAATGAGAAACTGCTAGTGTCCTTCTACCACTGCTCAATAGAGAGCATTTTAACATACTGTATCTGTGCCTGGTTTGCCAGTTGCACAGCTGCAGACAGGAGAGCGCTCCAGAGAGTTATCACCAGAGCTCAGAAGATCATCGGCTGCCCCCTACCATCTCTGGAAGAACTGTACAGTTCCCGTTGCTTGAAAAAAGCACAAAACATTTTGCAGGACCCATCACACCCTGAACATTGTCTGTTTGAGCTGCTGCCTTCGGGGAGAAGATACAGAACAATTAAAGCAAGGACAAACAGATTAAGAAATAGCTTCTATCCGAGAGCTATTGTTGCTTTAAATGCTGCTAAAATCTCAAAATCTGAATGATAGATGGGTTTATTTATTTTGTGTGTTTTTAAGGGAGCCGTGCAATAGTCAGATGTGTATGGATGCGAGTGTGTAATTTTGCTGGGTTTTTATTATTTATGATTATTTTATTATCGAAGGATTGCATTTTAATTTTGTTGTACAATGTACAATGACAATAAAGATATAAAGTATAAAGAAAAGACCACGACGCCAGGCTGGAGAACTGAGAGGTCGTGTGGGAGGACGACTACGACGCTAGGCTGGAGGTCTGAGAGGTCGCTTTGGAGGACAGTCCCAGTACCGGGCTGGAGATCTGAGAGGCCGCTCGTGAGGGCAGCTTCGGTGCCGGACAGGAAACTGGAGACTTGGACCAGGCGGAGACGGCACTAGAGGTAGCAGCTGGAACCCTGGACCAGGCAGCAGCAGCTGCTGGGGCCCAGAACCAGGCGAAGGTGGCAGCAGCGGCAGCTGGAGCCCTGAATCAGGCAGAGGCGGCAGCTGCTGCTGGAGGACTGGATGGAACGGTGGCTACAGTGGCTGTTGCTGCTCAGGAACCGGATGGGACGGTGGCTGCTGGTCGCTGAAGGGCAGGACCGGTGATGTGCTGGGCTGCAGAGTTGACGCAGAGCTGGTAGATGGAGCAGAGGCAGGAAGTGAGGCAATGTTGGCCCCCTTGGGTTCTGTGAGAGGCGGCTGCAGTTGAGGGTCCGGCTGAGGCTGCAGCTGCTGGGGAGCTGGCCAGGGCTGGGGGGTCAGGCTGGAACGAAGGTTGCTGCAGCTGGAGGTCCGGATGGGATGGACGGGGAGGCTGCAGAGGCTGCTGGAGGGCCAAATGGGGTGGGTCAAGCGGACAAGGCTGCTGCATCCGGAGGACCGGAGGAGGTGTGGGCTGCGGTAGCGGGAGGTCTAGAGCAGGCGAGGGCTGCGGTAGCAGGAGGCCCGGAGGAGGCAAGGGCTGCAGCTGCTGGAGGTCTGGATGGGACAAACAAGGCTGCTGCAGCAGGAGGACCGGAGGAGATGTGGGCTGCGGTAGCGGGAGGTTTAGAGGAGACGTGGGCTGCGGTAGCGGGAGGTCTAGAGGAGGCGAGGGCTGCGGCAGAGGGAGGCCCAGCTGGGGCAGAGGGAGGCCTAGAGGAGGCGGGACTGCTGCTGCTGCTGCTGCTCGGACACTTTCCTGCTTCGCCTGCGACCTCTGCCTCGGGAGACGGGGTGCAGCTCAGGGACTGCCTGAGGTGACAGCTGGGAGTCAGGTTGGGGCTGAGGTGGCAGCTCGGGCTCTGGAGGAAGCTGCTGTGGGGACACAGGCTCAGGCTCTGGCTGAGGCTGCAGCTGGAGGATCAGTGGAGACGGAGATGGCTGCTGTAGCTGGGTATCGGGCTGGGACGTTGGACACCTTCTATGCCTGTGGCCCCTGCCCAGGGAGACAGGGCGCAGCTCTAGGACAGCCTGAGGCTGCAGCTGGGGATCGGCCTGAGGGTGGATAATCGAGAGGGGAGACACCATCTGAGCCTTCAGGTTCCGGTGAATTGCTCGGGCTTCTGCAGGACTCAGACGGGTCTCTGATGGCCAGGACAAGGTGAGTTAGGCTGGCTGAGGCGGGCCCCTGCTTCCCTTCTCCCCCTCACTGAGACCGCCAGGACAGATGGCAAGGCAAGTGCACAGGTAGGGCGAGGGCTCAGGGACAGGAGGGTCCGGATCTGAGTCTGGGGTTAGAATATGTACCCCCAGACTGACGGAGAAAGGGGTGCTCTGGGGAACAGTGTCCATAAGGGCCTCCTGCTCTGCTCGTAGGTACTCAATCTGCAAGAGAAAGCTCGCAATGGCAGGGAGCTGGGCCAGCCGTGTTCGGCTCCGAACAAGCCTCTCCATTTTATTGCAGATGGCTAGGCCCTCCACGGGGTCGCTGATTGGGTCCAAACTGATGAACAGGTGCTACAGTATCTGTGATAGAATGTCTAAGTCCTTGACATGGTCGAGTGAGTTCATTGTTTGGCTGGTTCGTTTTAGGAATGTAGTGCTTGCCCGAGGTGGTCAATCTGCACACCGTACCTGGTGAGGGTTGATGGCGTAGTGGGGTGACCAGTACCATAGCCTCATAGCCTGCAGAGTTCACATCGGCCAGGACATTCTGTTATGGTCGCTCACTCGCAGGAACAAGGTGAGCAAGCAAGCAAGCAGGACTCAGAAGGCAGACACAATGGTAAAGTCATGTTCTTTAGTGTAAGCAATTAGCAGGTTATCAGGAGAGATGGTGATTTCCGATGGAGTTGTCTGATAGAGGAGGTCTGGGTTGGTGAAGTGCAGGCTGAGTGGAGGGACAACTTAGTTGGAACCCACGGAGTGGAGATGAGGGCAGGTAGCTGCGAGTAGCTGAGAGAGCAGATGGAGATCACTAGAGTTTAGGTGGTGTAGATACAGTATTACTAATGGGAACCGGGTAGAGGGAGATGCCAGGAACAAAAAAGAGAGTTGCAGTGGAGAGGAGAAGATTGCAGGAAGCACATGCAGGCTGGCTTGACCAGGTGAGGAGTTTAGCCGTAAACTCAGGGAAGGTGAGTAGAGATGCGTGGTTCAGGAAATGCAAGCCGCTGCAGATGACACTCGAGCCACTGAGAGATATGACAGCTGATGTACTCGGAGGGTGGAGTCCTCAGAAGTCTCGTAGGTGAAGTAGCGTAAGAGTAGCGAAACCAAACTGTGTAGAAGAACATCCTCAACGTACTGGCAACGCAGGAGCATTTGCCAGCACCTTAAGTATCGACGTTGGCGATCAGGAAATGTGTCACAGCTGTGTTGCACCCCGGTAACCACTGAACAGGTGATGTGTCTCAGCTGTGCACACCACCAGAAGCAGGACCTGCAAGAGAGAATAAAGAAATGGAGAGAAAAAGGGAGAGAGGCAGGTGGCGTCAAGCCGACCTGATGAGAATATTATATTTGGTGGGTGGGATCTTTACTGTACCTAAATGTGAAATTAGAAATCCAGAATTAACAGCTTGATTTCTAATGGATCTTGTTCGTACTGACCAAAACCCAATGATCAAAACTGAGGCATTTGGGGGCATATTATCCAATGTTTTAATGATCCAGTATGGTTACTGTTAAAAAAAAAAAAAAAACACTGGAACTTGCAATTTCCATAGTGCAACTCCACAGCATTTTTTAAAAACCCTCTCTGCTTCCTGAATGTCCACTTCATTCAAACCCCACCTGTCTAGTTTATAAACACGAGCCTTCTGTCATTTTAAACTTTGGAGAACTCCCTCCAGAGCTACAGACAACAAACAATAGTACTACTTGTGATGAGTAGACCAGAGTATGGATCAGGCCACATATTTCTGTCCGAGCCCGAGAGTGTGGTGGCCAAACCAAACATGACAAGCATATTGTGTTTCATGTCATAACCTGCCCTGAGCCTGATACAGTTGAGTTTGTGAGATTAAAGGGGAACGTTGAGCTGTGACCTGTTTACATGAGCAAAAAACAAACATTACCTTTAGGTGCATTAAGGTGCATCGTTTCCATGGGACCAATGAAGGCATAACGCATTCCTAGGCCCTCTGACATCACCAGGTCGATGTCCTTGACTGAGATAATGCCATCCTGATGGAGTAAGAGAGGGAAAAACTGCTAGAAGTAGGCCCTTCATCTCATTTCACTTCAGTCTATATTCCTTACAATAAAAGTATAAATAAATCAGTCAGTAAATGTATGAGCAGATCTTCCTGCAGCAGATTTAAAATTTTTTCCTCTTTCACTATATGCAGTGTTTTCCACTGAGCTGCATTCTCATGTGCCAGAAAACAAACAACTCCTGCTTTGCATGATGTTGCAGGTAAAATAAATTAATAACATTTCAACAAAATTGTGGCTTTTTACCTCCAGGGTAAGACCACGTTCCCTTTGATCCCATCAGACTACTCTCACTGTATAAGGGTTTCTAATCAGCCAAATCAGTCTCAGGATTAGTACAGTACAGGACAGGTGGGCAGAGGATGGAGGGAAGGATGGAGTGGTTCAAGTATCTTTAGGTTGGAGATACCTGTTGGCTGACCACAGAGGAAATCAAAGCTTGGATACAGATACACAGAGCAGTGTGAGCAAGAGGAGAGAGGGACAGGGTCGTCTTTGTTTGGGCCTTGTATCCAACAATGGGTCTGTTCTCTGCTGTAGTCACTGGGGGCAACAAGCTGCTTTCTCAGCTGCTCTGTTTTCTAATGCTGGCCCTGACTCAAGGACTGTTTTCTCTGTGTGTGTGTGTTTGGAGGGGTGAGGAAGAGTGGCTGTTAGGTAAGAAGGATCACAAGGCCACTCTCAGAGAACAGGGTTTCATACTCAAAACCAAACCTCTGGTCATTATTAAGATTTCCTTCTTGTAGGCTGGAGATGTCTGGGAGCATGCTTGCTTGATTGACCCAAATGTTTCAAAAAGTCTTAGTTAAAACATGGCAAATTATTCAAAATTTCTACTACATTCTTTTGACATAGATTAGTTCAAAGCTCTCTGTAAACCCATTAAAGTTGTTCTGCCATATGCCATTCCACTGTACACAAGCATTTGATGGGTTTGATTTGTGATCCTTTGTTTTCACTGTTGTAATTAGGATCTTGTAAGCATAGTTTTTTATTTCGACTTAAATGTGAATGGTGACAGGATGCTGTGTGATGCATTCAGCTGGAGCTCCTTCCAGGACAAACACTTTATAACAGTTGTGTGGCATTTCTGTCAGCCAGGGCCTAAGGGTGCCCTCAGGGTTAATTCTCCTCAACAGGGGCCTCACAAGCAAGTGAGCCACAGTTGATCTGTAATGTCATGTACTGTAGATATGAGCCTGAGTTTTCACAGGCCAGTGTGAACCCATAGGTATCACATGGGGGAGGCATGGAGGGAGAGGGACACAGTAACCTCTGCTTCATTTCCTCAAAGTACACGGAGTGTGTTAATTCTCAGAAATCAGCAAAGCCAGCAAACTGTTAATCCCGGTGACTGCTGTGAGTTTCTTGAGGTCAGCATCGACTAAAAGGGGTGTTCATCTGACTGCAGGCTCACTTGGGTCATTAGTGATCCAAGGAGTGCCACTTGAAACAAAGACTCCAGAGTCACTTGAGGAGAGAGAACATTTTCCAAAAGCCTTAAGAAGTCAGAACTGACAAGCCCAGGACCTTTGTTGTTAAGTAATCCTATTCCTTTTAATCCCATAATGACTGTTGCTCTTTACAGGAGTGTGTCACCAACAAAAATCTTCAGTAACATCTGCCTTAATAAGTGGTCTTTTCTGAGTGCTGTTACAAAAGTGCCACATTGCTATGCCACATAATGGAAAAAACATCATTTGTGAGCTCACTGACAGTATCCAATTGTATTATCATTGCACCAATGTACTGTATATAAAAGATTTCTCATAGGGAAAACATACAAAACTGCAACACCACATATGTAGTGTATCGTCTCACTTGTATTGCAGGATCATTGTACTGGATTGTAACTAGTTCAAGGTTCTGGGGATTTTCTCTACACCACTGGTCAAAAGTTTGCGCTCACCTCCATTCTTCCAGTTGTTATTAGTGTAATTCAACAGCTGAACACACTTGTGTAATTCTTTCTGAAACATTATCCTAAGTTTACTGGAGCGTGTCTTAAGAACACTACACAAATACCACCACATTGCAGGAGTCATCTTGAGGATGCAGTGTCAGATGTAGAGGATGAGCCTGTTATGACTGTTTGTGTGTATTCCTGTAGCCAACAACTCTCAGATCACAAGCCTCTCTGGTTTAAAACTAAAGCTCCCCAGAAAAGAATTTCAATTTTTTTCATATCATGCTAGCTTCCAATATGAGATTTCACTACAGAAAAATTAAAATGTAAAGCTATTTGATATGGCTGATCTAACCCACAAAAAGAAAATTAAGCTGTTGCTACACATGTCATCAGTACTACTTTGGTCAGAAGCACAGATTACTGTGTTCTCTGGTTAAATACTGGGAGAAATGATTATTTATTGCTGTAAATCATGATTATTCCCTTTACATTTTACAAGTCTGTTATTTTTCAGTGAGGCCCTCTCCTAGTTAAATCAAGTTGTATATTTGTATAAAAGGCTCTAATGACTCTATGTAAACTATGAGGGAGATTTTCACTGGCACAGCTGTTGTTCCTATTTATTTACATGTAAATTTACTGTTTGAAAGCATTTCCTTTAGATATTCTGAGGGGCCAGGCATGTGGGAGTTCCCTTTCATTACATATTCATTTTAGGAACAAAAGTCTTTTATTCACACGACACTGCTTTTGTTTGATTGTAGACATTCCAGATATTTTTTCTAAATGAGCTGCACATGACAACATATCAAATCTTTGTTAGTTCACTGAACAAATATCGCTGTTGAAATAAATGACAACATGATGCGAGTCACACCCATGTTGTTGTTGCCTGTGTGGCACCCTATCTTGTTAATTTTATAGGTCTTTGTCGCTGCCTGCAGTTGTCTTACCTTGTGTGTACCTTTTATGTGTGTTTGTACACATGAGAGAGAGAGAGAGAGAGCTCACACTCACAGTCTGTCTGATACGGTTACACATTGTAACTTAGAAGTAGAGAAATGTCAGGGACCAGGATACATGGAGCAGTGAAAGGGCTGTTCTTTGTTACACATCTCCAACAGAGAAAAGACAGGGAATAAAGAGGGAGAGAGAGGAAGAGAGTGATCTAAGCCCCTCTTGAGGGTTATTAAGGCCTATGTGTGCTGACACTGGAATGAGAGCTGGGATTTGTTCTATCATACAGTAGTGACTCATCTCCACAGAGGTCAGCACTAATCCACTACAGCTTTAATTATCTTCTAATTGAGTCAGTAGTTGGCACAAAAGAGTTGAACTTCTGATCTGAACAGGTTCTGTTTTTGATGTCTTTACAGCAGAACTCAACTTCACTCAGCTTTATTTGTATCACACCCATTTCCAACCTAATGGCCACTCAAGGTGCTTTACATACAAGACAGACAGAAAAAAAATTAACATTAGGGAGTAAAAACAGCAAAACAACTTTACATATAGAGAAGAGAGAGAAAATTAACATTAAGCAGTAAATGCTTGCAAAAGCCAGTGAAAACTCGGATGTGTCTTGAAGGTAGAAACAAGTGAAAGGACATGGAGAAGCCCAGGAGGCTGCTGTGCACATGTCCGCTTTTTTGTCAGGGGCTGACCAAGAGAGTGCTCTCTGTAATGCACAAACAACTGTTGAGTTTGTCTGACAGCTTCTGTGTGGGCCACGTAATGGGACAGTGCACGTATCAGACAGAGGGTATAGAGCTCTTTTTGTGACCCATCTCTGTGTGGGGGAGGAAAAAAACCTATCCAGGGCGATGAGTCTGGATCGAAAAGAAGATGTTATCATTTTCAGTGCGTACGCCGGGTTCGGCCTCAAGGCAGCTGAGCAGCCGAGGAGCACAGTTTTCAGTGAAAGGTGTTTAGGAGAGGCCTGTGCCATGGGCGTAAAAACCACCTCTGGGCCATGTGTGATGAGCAAAGGCATCCACTCCTGCTGTTGTGTTGTCCCATTTGCCTCTCAGTGTCAGTGCAAAATGTTTTAACATGTTCAACTCTGTGGCCAGCTCCAGACAGTTGATGTGGAGAGACGGGGTTTGACACCACTTGTGCCAGACACGTGCCTCCCCAACTGAGCAGAGACGCACCTGTGAACACCGATATGTGTGACGTGACTCTGCTGAAGGGAACTCCTGCTGCTGTTACACTGGGAGTTCTCCAGTACGCCAGATCTGACTGGACCAAGGAGGGGACTGTTAGCATGCACTTGTGACGCACTGGGTCGAGGCGAAGGCAGCCGAACCACCTCTGGAGCTTCCTCATATGGAGGAGACAGAGGGGAACCACTACACGACTGGCTGAGATTGTGCCCAGTAACCGCATCACAGACAGAGCTGTCTCCTTCGTGCGGGGAATGATGCGCTGTAGGAGAGATGAAAGCGCCTCCTGCCTGGCAGGTGACAGCTTTGCTGATGCTGAGAGAGTCCAGGTGTACCCCCAGGTAAATGATTGACTGACACAGCAGTGGCGATCTCTTTTCCCAGTTCACTGCAAAACCCAGCTGTGTCAGCTGTTGCACCAGCTCCGGCGTGTGGGATGCAGCCTGCTATCTGGAAGGTGCCATCAGAATCAGATCATCTAGATAAAAAAGGACTCCGATTCCCATCCTGCATAATGGCTTCAGTGCCATCTCCACACACCTGGAGAATGTGCGAGGAGCCAGAGAATAACCGAAGGGCAGTCAGTTGTATTGGAACCGTACACCTTGGAAGGAAAAGCGCAGGAATTTCTTGTGTTTGGGGATGATGGGCACATGAAAGTAAGTATCTCTTAGGCAGATGGATGTGAACCAGTCACCCGGACGCACACACTCCAGCACCTGCTTTGTGGTGAGCATGTGAAATGGCCTCTTCATCATCAGCTGTTCATAGACAGCCACTCTCGCCATACTGGGTAGCGTTCTGAAAGCGAATGAGCACTTGTTTGTGGGGTGTCCGTGAACATTGTCACCAGTCACTGCAGTGCCCTCTCTGTCACTGTGAGGGCCAAGTGTTCCCTCCTCACCGCCCATGGGAAGGCAGGGGTGAAAGGGCTGTGAAGAAGCGAGTGCTCCAAGTGGAGCTTCGCCATCTTCATCACGGGCCGGAGAGAAGCCACAACTCATAGGCACCGATAGGTGGGAGGTGGGGAGCCCCGAGCTGTGCAACGAGGGAAGAGACAGATGCAGAGAGGAGAGCCACATTGTTGATGGCTACACCTGCCTGGGATGCGCATTGGTGAATGCGGTCCGAGAGGTGGGCAGTGACCTGGTCACATGGGAGAGGAGGAGTCGGCCATCTCCTGCCGAAAAACACCACCTTAGGAAGCGAGATAGAGGAGATGCTTGTTTCCAGGGGCAGAACGACAGGAAAGCTGAGGTCTATCATCTCCTGTACCCTGGTAAGGGGCTTGAAGCAGGTGACCAGAGCCCTCAGGCTCCCAGGCTGCTCCGCTGCCTCTGATAAGAGGGGTCAGATGGCTGGAAATTTGGAGGTGCTTGCTCCACTGCTCTGTCTTGTAGAAGTCTCCCCCATGTCTGATGGGGGGGAGAATGGGCAGCCGGCAGGAGAGAGATACCCTTGTGGTCTGCAGCCTTGCTGATGATCTCCGGCAGATTGTGGAGCAGAGCCTCGAATGCTAGGGGTTGACCAGCGGTGAAAATGTGCTGCTGGGCTGGAGGAAGCTCATCTCCACTGGTGCCCATGTCGGCCAGAGGAACTGTGGGAGCCAGTAACAGAAGGAAGTGACTCAACAGACTCAGGCCCATCCACACCAAACAACTCCAGGGGAGCATCTGCCAGGGGATCATCACCACAGTTCGCCCAGCTGTCATCATCCGGATCCTGCTCTCTAGTAATGGCAAAAGCCTCTGCTCTTCGTTGGTGCTTGCCAAAGGCAGGCAAGCACAGAAGGGGCAAGTGGCCTGAGGTGAGAGAGCCAGCCGAGGCAGGCCTCGCAGCGGGGGTGTGGATTGTTGGGCATAATGAAGCCTGTATCGCAGCCTGGGCACACGGTGATGGCGGTACAGTGCTGGAGTCTGGCATTTGATCTTTGCTGTTTAGACATTGTTAGGAATCACTCTAACAGTGCTGAAGAAAAAGAGGGAGCCTATCTCAGGTCATGCTGGCATTTATGCCACTACAGTGGACCTGTTTGGGGACAGCCCCAGTGCAGGGCACAGTGAAAGAAATCTCAATAGCAACAGCTTTTAGATGGTGAAGTCTATACGAAATAGAATGCTATATTCTGCTAAGCTAGGCTAGTTATCTTTTAGCCAAAGTAGTTTGGCTGTTATTTTACCCTTTTCATGAGATTTGCCTCCTGTCTTTTTAAGTGAGGGGGCTAACAAATTAAATTACCAAAATGTTTCTTCATCAAATTAGGCATTTTTTTCAATTAGAGAAGGTACTTAGGAAAGAAAAAAGAAAATTTTGCTTTAGTTGTAGCTAGCAGTTTCTCCCAGCAATTTAGCATTCACTGTTTTAGCTGTGTATTTAGCTTTCTGTGGCAGAACTGGTGTTTTGGCTTTGCAGAGCCATCTACTCATTCAGACCTTAACCCTGGTGTGGTGTTAATGTCATATCTTTCAAAAGGGAAACAAACAAACAAAAATATATAGCAGATGTAAAATGGCATGGGCCATCACATACTATTGTGAGGTGTGTTTCAAATTGCACACTAGCTGTGCAGTAACTGGCCTTATTGGCCACGTAGACACTGACCTGGACCAGCCTCCAGGACTCTGCGATAATGGCTGCTTGGACTCTGTTGAGGGCAAAACCATCAATCTCTTTCTTCAGGCGTATTGGTGCTTGGCCAACCTGAATCAAGAGAAACCAGCCATGACACGAAAGGTAGAAGTTCCTAAGAGACAACACCTGTGACTTTGCATGTTTAAGAAAATGATGTAAAAAATGGGTTACATCTGCCAACCTTAGAACAAGGAACTAAACTGATCATAATTCTTCCAGAAAGGTTTCCATTCGTTTGAGCATATTACGAAATTCAGCATGCAGAAACTTGCAAGGATTTATCTGGAAAATGCAATAGTGAACTAATTTTGTTGTCAGAGGTTTGCTATCACTGTCTGGTAACAGGGTCGAGTGACAAACTATCATTTAGATTTACGAGACCGGTGATTCCAGTGAATGGGTAATCATATTGTATCATCATAATCATACTGTAGGATCTTTACCTTGGTCATTATGGCATGGGTGGTGTCTATAACTGCCCCTGCTGTCTCTGGGTGAGGCACCAGCTCCACCAGTTTGACATAGTAGGGTGGATTTACCTGAGGAGGACATGACAGTCACATCATATGGTGGCTATGTCACTGATACAAAGATTTATGCATTGGTGATCTTTCTTCATGTATAAATGACTTGACAAAGTTATTACATATGGTAATGTGTTAATGAAAATGTAAAATCCTAAAACCATTATTCAGGCAAAAGATAATTAAGTTGGGTCTCCATGATCTTTTAGACATATTTGAAACAGATCACAGTACTACTAAACAAAATCTCATCATCATTATTAACTGACTGGCCCAACAGCCCAGCTAAAACTGAGATTTTACCTTGTTTGAAGACAATGGATTATTGTTCACAGTAGGACCAACTGTGCTGTGATAACTGTCTTATTTCATTACATTAGAGAGCATAAAGCACAACAATAGAGTACACTATCCTACACGGCCACCTTTTCACTACACTGTTTTCTTAAGTTGTACTTAAGAAACTTAATCAGTGTCCTACTTGACAACAAAGTATTGAAAAGAACAGGATGGTGCAGTTTTGACAACAACACCAGTTTTAAGCTTGGTGGGGACACCTGTCATTTTAACTTTACTCAAAAGAGAGTCCATGTTAACACACTGAGTACCAGAAAGCTTATAAAATAACAGAAAAGAATTTTCACTTCAGAGATTTTTTGTGATTGATAACTTGCATTATCTAAAATGTTGATGATACACTAAGCGTAATAAAATAAACACCAATTTTATCATGAAGTAACACCTTTATATCTGACATAAATAAACAATTTGTGCCCTTATTTCCTTTTCTACAGTACAGATGTGCAAACCATTATACTGATTTTGACAGTTGATAAGCATCGCTGCCATTGTCATGAAGCCATGATGTTTGTTTTCAGGGTCAGTGTATAAAGCCTGAAACATGTTGCATTTATTAAAAGTAAAAATCAAAACAACTGAATATAAATGCCTCATAAGCAAGTGGAACACTGAAAAAGATTGCTTGTTTGTTCATATGCAACAAAGTATTTGACTGCTGTGAGGGAAGTGGGCGATGGCATGTTTCAATTTAAGGCTGAAAATACAAAATGAGCTATAGAAACACTTTCCCAGTTTAGCTGACCGGTCTCTATTAGCTGTGGTTTGACAACTCTAACAATCACTTGCATGGAATTTACCATCATTTACCATTAGAAGATGAGATGTACTCTAATCTTTTTCACTGCTACAGCATTGAAAGTGGCTTGTAAAAATAGCTGAGTACTGAATTCAGTGTCCAACAAACAAAATCAGGTAAAACTTCCAATTTTATTCTTCTTTCATTATTTGGAAGTGACAAGTAAAAACCTACCTGGTGGACTGAAATTATTTTGGTGGTCCATTATAATGTAAAAACAATGAGTGCATTTAGGCGGCATGGTGAAGCAGTGATTTACGCTGTCACTTCACAACATGAAGGTTCCGGGTTCGAGCCCTGGCTGACCCTTTGCCTTTCTGTGTGGAGTTTGCATATTCTCCCTGTGCTCCGGTTTCCTCCCACAGTCCAAAGACATGCATCTTAAGTTGATTGGTGACTTTAAATTGCCTGTAGGAGTGAGTGTGAGTGGGTGTTTGTCTACATGTCAGCCCTGTGATAGACTGGCAACCTGTCCAGGGCGGACCCTGCCTCTCGCCCAGTGAGTGGCTGAGATAGACTCCAGACCCCCTGCAACTCCGTTCGGGACTAAGTGGTATAGATAATGGATGGAGGAAAAACTGCATTTAAACTTATGGGACATTACTGTGTTTTTAGAAGATTGTTATTTTTTGGTAATTTTATGGCACCCCAGAGAATATTACAGTTTTTTTTTAACTTTTTTTTTTTTGTACAGTGCAGGCTGGTGCCAAGACTGTAGTAGCACTAACCGGATGGGAGACGAGGCAGCGACTCTTGTTCTGCACTTTAGAGAAAACACTGCTTGGCACTAGACAGGAGGTGGAGCTGCTCAGGATGACATCTGTTCCTACAAGCTGTTCTACATCCTGGAAGACACACTGCTTGACCTCAAGCTGCTCAAATACACACTCCTGGAAAATACACACATACATACAGGGAAAGTCAAGTGCATACACACAGAAAATGTGAAGTTACAAAAGAAATGTACTACAGCAGTCATTGCACTGTCTGTAACTGAGTAAGTATGATCTCTGACCAAGGTGTTTGAAACATACAGTACAGCAATTTCCTGCTCCCACATTTTAAACTTTCCTTTTGAAATAAAAACTGTGTTAAATATTATACTGAATAATATAATCTTGCAGTCTAATACTAAACCACTTCCAGTGTATGTGATGTGAACTTCAGAATGGGTAAACCAATAAATCTTGATAGAGCATCAGCAAAGCATCACAGTGAAGAAAACATCAGTTATCACAACAATAAAGAGAGATCTAGCATTTTGTTTCTTGTTAAGTGCCAAATTATTCTATTGCCCTTGGCTTCTGAGAATCTACACTGATACAAAAACAAGATTGAATCCAATTCCTGGGGTTTTAGGTCAGGCTTAGCTGCATTTTATGTCTGTCTGGACAGGTGTAACTGTTAAAGGCAGTAGTGAAAAGGCAATGTCCTCTTAAAATAGTGGTTCTAAAGTATGTAGAACTGCAATAACTGGCTGAGAAAGCAGCATATCTGAATAAAGCCTGTTTAAAAATGTGCTTCTCCTCTCATGAACAAAAAACACATTACAAGTTAAAATCTGACTTTTTACATCTTCTCCATGGGGCAAATGATAGATTTACTGTATCTGTGATTTAGGCACTGGGTTGGATACGACAACTGTCTGGACCTCAGTCTCAATCAGATGGATCTGAGGAGGAGTTGTCAGAAGAATGTCAAAAGAAAGAGCTTAAATGTCCAAATCCAGAGGCTTATAGAGCTGAATGGGCTTCTACAAAGTACTCAAAAAAGGGTCTACATGCTTGTGTAAATGGAACATTTCAGTTTTTGATGTTGAATGTATTTGCAGAAAAATTTCACTTTGCCACCGAGTCATTGTCATGTTAAGTGGAGATTGATAGCAAATGACAATGTTCATGTTCTAAATTCATTTAAAGTTGAATCTATAACAAAGTGAGGTGTGCAAAAATTGAAGGGGCCTGAATACTTTATGAGGTCCCTGAAAATAATTAATGTAAGGAGTGGTAAGAGCCCATGCAGCGAGCACATCAGTACAGATTAACATCAGTCACTATGAGCGACTGATGTTCTGTAACCAGTCTGACTGGTACAAACTCCTGTTTCCTCTTCTCCCCTAGAAAAGCCCCAGTCAGTAACACAGTGAGACTTGGATCTGTTGATGGTATGCTTTCAGGAAGGGTGAAGCTGATTTTCTTGACCTGGTAGTTCCCTGTTTTTAATAAGTGCTGCATTGTTCCTTGTTAGGGTGAACTTGGCACAGGGTATTGATGTATTATGGTCCTACCTGTCTCTCTGTGTGATGAAGAGCACCATTCTCTGCTTTAACAAAGGGCAGGGTGGCCCGCAGGACAATTTCCTAGCTTAAAATGTAACTTTCAATTAGCTGTGTCTATGTTTGCACATAAAATCCACAGGTCTGAACTCAGGTCGATAAATTGTTATAATTAGAATTGTCATTTCTTGCTGCTGATCCAAAATAAATATTAGTAAATGAGGACAAAGTGAAATAGAGACATCTGGTCTTAAATATCTGACATTTATTTACATACTAGCGCCTACTTAGAATATGTGTTTCCTATTGAGCATTAATGGGAACCAGAGTAATTCCCACAGACTGAAGGAGTAATCACTTCTGAGCCAATCAGTATAACTTTGTGAAATGTCTAATCCCAGCTGTGAGATCAGGTTAAAGGATAACTTCAGTTTTTTTTTTTTTACCAGCTATATTTCATCTAAAAGTGTGTATGGTGATTCTATAGCTTGTGCTAATTGTATTAATTACCCCATTGTAGAGATTCAGGGAAAATGAAAATTCATGTTAGACAGTGTCACTGGGGCAATTATTTGGCTGCAGAGAGAGCTCAGAATAAACATAATTTCAATCAAATCATTTTTTCATTTTTCATGGTTATCTCTGAGTCAGAAGGAAAGCAAACACAAGATTTGGGCTGCTGTCTGGGGGAGCCATTATAGCTAATTAATATAGAGACAAGTGTGAAAGATTATTTGACTGAAATCATGTTTGTTCTGAGCACTTTCGGAGGCTAACCAGTTACCCGAGGGCACGGATTAACACTTTTTGTCTCCTAAAATATCTACTACAGAGGTAGTGATAAGAAAATTATCACTAGCTATAGAGTCCTCATCCCAGCTTTTAGGGGAAATACAGCAAGTTAAAAAGTTATCGTTTAACATTTATACTAAATTTGACCAGTGGTGTCTCAGGTGCCTTACAATGTGTAAACCAATGATGCGGTGCCCCCTTGGGGATGATCAGTGTAATCTTGAAAATGCCAGAGCATACTGTTGTGAGATTATTTTACGCCTATGATGCATAGATAGAATACAATAAACTATACTACACTCTATCCACTTGATTCCCCTTGATTTTTGCATGGGGGACAAAGGGACAGAGTGGATGGTGCCGGTGCTGGTGCTAGTCTAGTGTGTTACCTGAACAAAGAAAGATCCCTCCAGTGCCTGAGATAGGTCATCATGACTGCTGAGCAGGGCAAGCTGCTGCATAGCGGTCAGCTCACCTCTCAGCATGTGGGCATCCTCCAGCTCCTCCAGCTGCTTCCTGAGCCGACAGAGCAGGAGAGGTAACACCCACACCCACACACTCCCTCCAAAGACTGTATGAAATTAGTTGTCCTGTCTCAATGTATTCTTTTAATGTCTAAGGGTTATTATCTAAATATAAATATGATGTAAATGTGAGCAATTCAATAATATATAATATAAACTATGTAAACAGACAGTGATTGAATCGGACATTTCTTCAGGAGGTGATTTTTATGAAAACTTTGTTTGTGGGAAGATGCCTGAATGTTGTCAACCTGGTTTTTTAACAAACCAAAAACTGCCAATCATGGCAGCCCAGTGACAGCAGTTATTTATTATTACAGATACTGGACCATAAGAGTCAGAAACATTTGTCAGAATACTATTACTTACACTGTATAAAAACAGGACACAGGATTAGCAACAGTCAGCACATTTGTTCTGCATGAAATCAGAAGAGAAGGAGGTGGAAAGTCTAGCACACTGACACCCTCTATTGTCCACGTGGTCTGAATATACTGCAGGCTAAGCAGTTACAGTAGATGTTTGTAGGCTATTTACAGGTCAATAAGGATAAGGATTCAGTGCTTATAAAAATCTTTACATTTGCTAGTTTTTTTCCTGACAGTATTTTTCAAATTAAGACTGTAGTGGTTTTACATGTATTTGTCCCTAGGAGGAACCTAGAAACTCATGTATACTCTGGTTTTTGAGTACTCTGATTTCTGCTGCAATCAGGCTTCCACAGGTAATCTGGTTTGTCAAGTACATGTAAATGCAGTGCATATGTTCCTAAGTAAGGGGAAGCCACTAATCATGCAGTGTCCATGGGTCTTCTCTGTGAGTGCTGGAAGGAAGAAAAGGGTACATTTTGGACAAGGGTTCTTGTGAGTCATGAGTACATGGAGGCCGGTTTATATAGCCATGCTGATCTGTCCCTAGAATACTGAAACAGGCTACTACTACTGTTACAGGCTACTGTGGCAGTGGCATCTTGTAACTTTCCATGATACTTTCTACTTTTATAAACATGGGCTATAAATCAATGAGTCTATTCTAAAATAGATAAAAACACACCTATGAAAAATATGAAGCATCACTTGACCTATTAGAGCATTAACTCAATTAGTTAGTTAGGACCACAACATAAACACAAAGATGACAATATGTCTTTAACTTAGACTACATCACATGATAGGTTGTGCAGTGGGGCTCACCTCATCTCTGCGATGGCCTTAGCAGCGTGTCCTGGTTGGTTGTCATAGAGCTTTACTCTGAAGCCTCCACTGACAAACACCATAGCCCAGGAGCGACCTATCAGCCCACTGAAACAGGAACACAAGCAGTTTGGTGTAGATTCTGCACACGTCTGCTCATTTTTCAAAGTGCTGATCTCAAGTTCCTTTTCCTGCCCTGTTTTTACACATGGACCCATTGCAGGCTTTACAAAGTTAGCAAAATTCTGCATGTTCTGCTTGTTAATGCTTTGTTGCCTTTATGTAACTTTTTTATTTTAAGACTAAGTGTTGTTTTTGGCTTTTGACTTCTTACCTGACTCCAGAGCTGCACAAGAATTCCTTTATGCATAAATGGCAAATAAAAATATTGACTTGACTTGTTAATGAGTAACAAGCAAGTCTCAAAACCTAGAAAAAGAGGAGTAAACATCTAGTTGGGACATTTAGTATTTACTTTTCAGGTTACGTCAGAGCACTGGGAAGTTTAACTAAGTGTGTAGACATATCAGATAGCATATGAAAAACATAAAAATTAAGCCTATTAGTTACACAATGTTATGATAAAGTAAATACAACTGCTTGGATACTTCATGAAGTGGGGTGAAGCCTGCCGAAAATAGCCAGGATTACGATGATATACCATGGTAAAGGTTTTTTAAAGGTGTCATGATAAAGTACAAGAGGTTAGATAATGACTTCATTACTTGCCAAGACATCTAAGTATACATGTATAGTCCTGTATGGCGATGTGAGTTAAGAGCATGAACTAGTACACAATGAAAACAAGAAACTAAAAAATATATTCAAAATCACTACTGTTAACCACATTTGGCACATACAACATTTTTTTCGCTTACCTGCCGATTACAGTGACGATTTTCATCTCAGATGAACTCATTTTAACATGATATTCCGTTAGCAATACAGTACATTAGGCCACAATTTACAGTATATTGTGGCGCCGCCCCTCCAGAGTCACACTGCTACAAGCCGGTACGGTAACCTGGAAGGTCCAAACATCCCAGGGGCGTGTGTAACAAATTGTTTTCTCAATTGAAAACAGAACACTCAGACACTTATACAAAAAGTTATGCAATTATAATTAGGCTGTATAACACATTTTTAGACTAAACTTAAAAACCGTGTAGTATACGTAATGATCAAGTGGGCAGTTTACACTTGTATCCCAGCAACGGCTGAGTTCAGCTTCGACCAATTATGTTAACGGTACTGGACAATTGACGCACAAGTAACCAATCAGAAGATAGGAAAGTAGAGTCCCGGCCATGCTGATTTGGATTGTGGGATTAAACAAAGTATCTGCTATCACGTCGCTGAACTGTTTGTTTTCCATATTCGTGAACATTTCATGCCACCACTTCTCTGGAGACGGAGAAATGGAGCACGTGCATCTGGCAGTAGAGGAGGATGACCTTTATTCGGGTTACAACGACTATAATCCAACATTTGACTCTGATGTGAGTTAGCAGCTGTGCTGCATTAACGCTAGCTATCCCTGAGCTAAGCTAGTGTTATCGCTTGCATTCAACGCAAAGTTCACAGCTAATAGTGACACAATTAACATTAATACTAAATGCACTCCGAGCTAGAAAAGTGGCAACTGTCAACACGTCATTTAAAACAATTATGTTTGCTTGTGTGAGTACAAATGTAACTTTTGCATTGCATTGGTATGTAACGTCAAAGAATAAGGACTAATAAGTGTCCAATTTGAAGGAGTTGGAGAATGATGAGAGCTTCAAGCAAGCAGTGAGGTCAAGTCATGGACGAAGACCCCCGGTGAGTATCTGTGTCGTTATGTAATAGCAAGCAGCCGAGTGAACTCCCGTATGAACGCTCCCGAGTCGTTTCTATGGGAACCGTTCCCATCCTCCCCATTCTGCCGACATGCATGAACGCAGCATTAGTGCATGTGTGCCTGTGTACTGGGGGGTGGGGGGCGACAACGACACAAATGTTAAGTGCACTTATTTAATAATACTATCATCGTGTTTTTACATTTTCCAGATGACTGCTAAATTTCCTGGCACTTCCATGGGAGCTAGGCCTATAGCTTCTTCCTTTGGTGTAAGTACAATTAAACTTAATACATACTTTTGAGAGGTTACAGCACCTGCTGTAATCTAGCTAAAAAGCTTATTTTTTTGGAATCAGCACATCAAAATGACATTCTTGTCCCCACATACCTTCTTTAAACTATGAGTTCTTTGTTTAAAATGACATGAATTAGACAAAATGTATTGTAAGCACCTTTGCTGCTTATCGAGATTAAATCACATCACTGTGTGCAATTGAAGGCGATGATAGTTTTTATTGTGATCTATATTAAATCAAATTACAGGATAAACAGCACATAGTGGCAAAACACAATCACAGTAACCAAATAATGATGTTGAGCACATCAAATATACACTCTTTTCACTGCACATGCATTTAATTCATATTTGCATGTTAAATTATGTTGTCAGGGAAAGATACTTAAATTATTCTCACCTGTCTTGTTCTTATATGAAGACTCGGTTCTCTATGGCCTCTTCAATGGGCAGATCCATGACTGGAGCTATGCAGGTGAGAGGGATTGACCAGTAAGTATGCATAGATACTTGATGTATTTAATATGTGATTTTAAGTTGATTTGTATAAGTTTTGTTGTAGGTTCTAGTGGTTGTTTTACAAACCTTTGTTTGTTCACAACCTTTTTAATCAAAGCTCAATAACAGCCTCATATACTACTTAACATTAATTATAGTTTATTTATAGTATATTTTTGTGAAGAGCATAATTGCAAGGAAGCATAAGTGACAAGCCAACCCCGTATTTACATTGTTTGTTTTGGTTTTTGCTGCTAAATGTAACAGGATGGGACAGCCCGACCAATGACCGCTGTCAGAGCAGCAGGTTACACATCCTCCCTGACTCGTGGTGAGTTTAAGGAAGACATAGACATGCATGGTCTATCACAGCTATTTTAGTGAACCAATCTCTCTGGATGATCTGGATTTTGAATACCATGTGATGAGGGTTTGTCTTGTCACCCTGTGACTGCTCATTCTTATTGTATCAGCATTTTCCCCCATTTATTTACACATGCAAAATACTATTAACTTTTGTTATAAACACAGAGGGAAAATGTGAGGGAAAAGAGCAAAAGCCCTCAGAAGGGCTTGTCCATGGTACTCTCAGAAACATACCTTACTAAGGAAAAAGTAAATAACACAATGTTTACACAAACGTTGTGAAAGTTATAGACATAGTTGGTGTAGAGAGACAATGTAAGCACTCAGAGTAGTTATCCTCTTTCTGTTATACAGAAGGACAGATTATAGTAGCTGTCTAAACATTTTTTACTTTGTGTTTTGAAGGCTCAACCTTTGACCCTCTGGGCCAGTCCAGAGGCCCTGCTCCTCCACTTGAAGCAAAGAATGAGGACACGTGAGTTGTAACTTTTAAGACTGTTTTATCTTCTTCAGTGTTTATTTGAATATGATCTGGACATCAGCCAAACTCAGTATTTCCTCTTAACAGTGTGCAATGGGAAGAAAGGACGTTAATAGCTGTTGTATTGAAGCCGTTAAGCTTGTAATTTTAAGTATAAATATTTGAAAGCGAATGTATACATTTACATTTCAGTGTGGAATAAATAATAAATACATACATAAAATAGACTGTGCCATAGTTTATAGTTGTAACCTGATTAATCCAGTCAGACAGGAAGCGAAGGTTTTGTTACTCTTCTAACATGTAGTTGTAACCAAAATGTCTCTAAACAGCCCTGTTCTGGGCAGTAGGTAGGGAAATTGTTGTACTGTCAGGGAAAATTATCACACATTTTAATACATTGTTTGTGATCTTGCAGGCCTGAGGAGAAGATCAAGATCCTGGAGAGGAAAGTGAACCACCTGATAGAAGAGAGCTGCATGGCACAGAGCACTGGAGCCTTGCAACTGGTCAGACTCTGTCATTTGTTTGACATACTGTTTAGTCATAGTGGCTGTTGGGATTTTGAGAGAAGGGCCTCCAAGTGATGTAGTAAACAGTGTTTTAATTTTTGGTCTGCTACTTCTTTACTCCAGCACACTGGAGTGAGTATCAGGTTAAAGTATATAGTCTGAGGCCCCTTGTTTTTTCTACCAAATTCAACCCTGTAATAAAGCTTTTTATTGACTTTGTTAAACCCAGAAAAAGGTTGTTTGGCAAAATACCTAAAGTTGATCACCATTCTGAGTTGTTTTTTTATTTTTTATTTTATTTTTTTAAACCCCTGCCAAGGAGGTTATGTTTTTAGTTCCGTGCGCGCATATGTGCGTGTGTTTGTTGGTCAGCAGGATTACAGACAAATTGCTGGAGGGATCATCAGCATACTTAGTACAGACATTGGTGGGGAGCAATCCTAGAAGTGATTAGATTTTGGCTGAAAATTGTCAGAGGTCAAGGTCACACAAATAAATAAAAAAATAAAAAATCAAAAATCCCATTTTTAACATGGGGCAAAATGTTAAAAACCAATATCTCCATTAAACATTAGCAAAATTATTTGAAATGTGACACACATATGTAGGGTGGCAATGTCTATCACCAGACCAGATTTCATCCGGATCAGATCTGGATTCCTGATCTGACGTCCTTTTAAAGTTAACATAGAAATCCCCATTAAACGCTTATTTTCTGCCTTAATTTAAACAAAGATGGAACCCTGAAATGTTCAGGTACAATACACAGTATAACTGCTTATAATACCCTAAAAGATGATCCAGATCAAGGATTATAGGACACATTTTGTGTTGTTCCAGATGCCTTGTTTTTTTTCCTGGCAGAAGCACATGCGCTCACCGAGTGCTCATTTTTAATAGGATAAATGTGGGATAATTGACTGATTTGGAAAATTATTAGAAGAGACTGAATTTGTAATTCTTTGTGAAATACAACAGAATATCCATTACACTTGAAGCATTAAAAAAATCCTTAAAATCAAATGGTCCCTAGAAGTGCCTTGCCTGTGTTGGCAGATGAACAACCTTTACAGCATAAGCCAAGGACATATTATACTGACTTGTAGCATTGTTCATTTGTGATGCATTTGTGCAGGCTCTTGAAAAAGCCAAAGAGGCAGGGAGGAAAGAGAGAGCACTGGTGAGACAGAGGGAACAGTCTGGCAATGCGGACAACATCAATTTAGACCTCACCTACTCGGTAAGTAAGGCTGCTATATGTCAATGTGGTTTAGTGTTTGGAAACGAAGTGACATGGTGTGCCTAAGAAGCTCAAGTACCACTTTGGAAAACCCACAATTAAAGCCTGCCTTTTATTAAGTTTTCAAAGAAAATGGCTGCTGGTGTTTTCTTCTTTTTTTTTTTTTTAAGGGGGGCACCTCAGCCAGCCAGCCATCCTTTTTCATCTACTTCCCATATTTTTCAGAGTGTGTTGGCTTAATGCACCTTAGCGAGAGCAGGGTTTATTCTAGTACTTCACATGTTATAGGAGGACAGTACAGTACCGGATATCTGGTAGGATCTGATCCTCTGCTAGCAGGGAACATGTTTGATTTTGGGTGTGGACTTTACCACTCAGCTATATAGACACATCTAACAGGAGACAAATAAATCATTTTCAGTGTGAAATATTTCTTGATATCAGTGCTTGTCTTTTTTATTATTTGATTTAGAAATACTGAAAGTTTTTGTCATTACCAGGTTTTGCTCAACCTTGCCAACCAGTATGCGAACAATGAAATGTACCCAGAGGCCCTGAATACCTACCAGGTCATTGTAAACAACAAGATGTTCAATAATGCAGGTGAGCAGAGAGAAGTATGCTACAGCAAATATAATCTTGTAAAGTGCAGCACATCGATAGGAACGATTGGTAACTAGCAAGCATTTAATTTTAACTTGGTGAATAAAGACAACCTACTGTAGCTTTATATATAAACATGACTGGAACAGAGGCTTTGGCCATGTAGCCTTTTGGACAAAGGATGTTTGGTAGCATTTTTTGTGTCAGTGTATTCTTGTGTCTCCACCAGTGCTTGAAGTAGTCCCAGTTCACTGCCACATGAATTGTACTTGATACATTGACTTTGTTATGCTGTATTATGTATTTTATATGTTGCACTGCATGTGCTGCTGCTGTTCCAGGCCATCTGAAAGTCAACATGGCCAACATCTACTTCAAACTGAAAAACTACCCAAAAGCCATCAAGTTCTACCGAATGGCATTGGATCAGATCTCCAACGCTCACAAGGAAATGAGGATCAAAATTGTGCAGAATATCGGTATGGTTTTCGTCTGCACGGGCCAATATTCGGACGCCATAATGTCTTACGAACACATCATGAGTGAGAGCCCCAACATCAAGACAGGCTACAACCTCACCCTGTGCTACTATGCCATCGGTGATAAGGAAAGGATGAAGAAGGCCTTTCAAAAGCTCATCTCAGTCCCTTTGGGCATCAGTGATGAAGAGAAGTACATCCCATCTAATGTGAGTTACTGTATATGTACTCTCATAAACTTAGAGCATCTAATAAGCATCTGCCATTTCTCTGTGTGTATACATGTTTAAATGACCATCTTTATTTTTGGTGCAAGATGTCAAATGTTGGGCATTCCTAGTCTGCACTGATCAAAAAACCTTTTTCAGTCAAACATTGCTGTGATGTCTTTTTTTTGTGGTTTGCACATGTAGTGGGATGCATGAGGGTGGTGAAGCAGAAGTGTGAAGACCCATGCTAACCTTTTTGTTGCTCTTATTTTTTTAGCCAAACAGATTGAACTCGAACTTGCCTTTCCTTCATTTTCTAGATATAAATGGACCCAATATAATGCTCTGCCAGTTCGCAATAAGTAGCCCATGAGACTGAAAGTGCTGCTGCTGATTTTTCATTCAACTTTTAGCAGTTAATATTTGGGATCTAGTGGCTACATTTTTAAAACTATAAAGTTATAGTTCTCTTTCTAGAGGGTCTGTTTTACACCAATTCCCCTTATAGGTTTTGTCTTGCTGCATGATGTATTTTAGCTGGGTATCCACGTCATCACTGTATAATCATTTCAGTGTTTCCAAGATACATTGTACAACAGTCTTTGTCAGTGGCATATCCTTTTGCAATTTAAGAAAGAAAGGATATGGTTTACCTCCAGGTTATCACATGTACTCCAGCATAGTTGCTAATTTGCTGAAAATGATGCAGAATGTTACTTAAATAACCACATTCTGTATTGATGATGGCAGGGCAATTCCTGTTTTTGTCATCCAACTTCACATTGGAACTTTGTCTTGCTCAAAAAACTTAGAAGAAGGCGTCTGGACGTAGTTTTAGGTAGAAGATGTTTGAGCTCTCATCCAAGAGGCTTCATCAGTTCTGTCTGACTGGTGGTGAGTAGGAGGTATTTATCCCACTGGGTGGTTTATCAGTCCTTTGACAGCCAACCATGTCCTCTAACGACAGAGTGATGTGGTGTATGCAATTAAGAAGAGGTGAAACGTCTTCTACCTAAAACTATGTTCATACGCCTTCTGCTAAGTTTTTTTCAGTATACTATGACCTGGATGACTGAGAATTTGCACGGACATTTGTCCTGCTCACTCTTTCAGGATGACGCCGGCTCAAATATGGTCATCGAGGCCATTAAGAATGACAAGCTTCATCAGATGGAGAGAGACCTGTAAGAAACATCTCATACTACACAAGTGCACTTCCTTCAACAAAATATGATCACTGTCTTTGTCTTGTCAAATTGCAGACATGTCACCTTCTATTCTAAAGCACTGAGATTTTCTCCTCCTTACAAAACACCAGGACCACTGCATTTCTATTCCAAATCATACTGTTGATTTATATTCTCAAGGACAAAGTATGAAATGATGAAATGGTGTCACTTCCCTTAGAGCATATTTGTGATGGCAGTGAATGCTTTTATTTATTTATTTTTTGAGGACCATTATGTGACCACTTTGTCGTTGAGAGTATAGACAGTTTTACAGAACCCAGCTATAGGGCTGCCCCCTAATAGCCGAGTCATTAGTTGAGCCGTGTCAGTCAACTGAGACTCTTCTAGTTGAGCCTTTGTTTTTATCTTACTACATTTTACTTTTTGTCAGCCACTGTGCATTCCAGTAGAAGGTAGCCCCAGTAGGTAGTTTATCTTCTTCTTCTCATTTTGGTGTGCCAGGCAGAAATTTGCTCAATACTTCTCCTTGCGGTCGGGGTGGGGGAGATTGTCCAATGCATGGATGTACATTAAGTTCGGATCTATTTAGCAAAATGCAGAACAAGCAGAAAAGGATAACAAAGCCCGCTAGGACAGATCACATAACGGTGATATTTATACGTTATTAGAAGTTTTTTTTAAACATTGTGGTCTCCTTTTACAAGAGAAAAGACCAACGATTGTGACGATGTGGCTGGTTTCGAGTAGCCTAATGTTATGTGAGTCCAGTTTATTCATCTCTGTTAAAGTATAACAAACAGCCATTTATCAACTGTTTCTGTGACGTGCATCCATCCAAACAGAACTGGGAAGCTAACAAAGTTACACGGGGAAAACATTTCGCTGAAGAATTATAAATAAAAGTTATGTTCTCAGTGCAAGCTGGCACACATACATCAAACGCACAGTAAAATAGCCTATAATAGCATAGTTTCAACAGAAATACAAGTTTGCTGCCTGTCTGATTATCCTGACAAATTTATATGGCAGTCTGACATTGATTTATTTATTTTTTTGGGACAGTCTAGGCTGTATAAGAGAGAGAATGAAGAGCTGACTGACAGTCGACTGACACACTCCCTATTTGGGTACAGCCCTACCCAGCTGTCAGTGCACCATTTCCCCCCTATGAAGTTGTAATATGTGGTTTTGTACCATTCATTTCCTGCTCTTTCTGTGTATACTGTACATAGAAAAGTCCTGGCTGAGAAGTACATCATGACCGCAGCCAAGCTCATCGCTCCTGCTATTGAGACTTCTTTTGCAGCTGGATTTGACTGGTTTGTTACTGTTGTTCATATTCAAATCTTAACACCAGAGGGCATTCAGTGTACAGCTCTGTGTAGTCCTTTGACTCAGAATTACTAAAACCTGATTTTTATGTGGGTGTTATTAGAGAGAGAAACTGGCAGGATGTTACTGGATGTCTTTAGTGTTTTCCCTTGGTGCAGGTCCGTTTAATCAGATTTAAAATTGTTGTGGATTTCCTGGTCAGTTATGTGCTTCTAAAGGCAAATATGAAAAAATGAATAACGGTAGATCACTGTTTCTGCACAATTGCAAGCCCAGAGAGATAGCAGATTAGTTTGTCAGATGAAACGTTTGGGGAAAAATGCTACTGAGATGAGCCAGAAATGAGAATAATTAGATTGTATGTTTTTGACTGGGCAGCATAAGGAGTGTCTTGCTACTGTAGTAATTGTATATGAGGGTGAAGTGAATCTTCTCCCTTTCCTGATTTTCACACGCATGTAACTGTGGCTCTGGAGGTAGAGTGGTTCGATTTCAATTCTCCCCAGTCCACAAGTTGCTCCTGATGGCCAGAGCAGCACCTTGCAGGGACAGCACCACCATCACTGTGTGTGTGTGTGTGTGTGTGTGTGTGTGTTGGCTCCACAGATGGCTTCCACTGTTCTGTACCGGAGGCAAATTCCTTGTGTGTGTAACATACTTGACCAATAAAAATGATTATCATTAAAACTCAGCCCCCCTGTGACCCCGTTCGGGGCTAAGCGGTATAGAACATGAGATGAGATGAGATCATTAAAACTAACAGTAAATTTCAATACCATTTAACAGGATGTTATTCCTATAGCTGGTTTTTTGTAAGTGAGTACAGCCACCAGTAGCTGGTCGTTCCTCTGGAAATGTATCAATTGGATCAGAACCTTATTATACACAGTTAAACGTATGTCTTGACACTCAGGTGTATTGTTTGCAAACAAAATTAAAATGTAGCCTGGACAGCAGTTAGATTAAATCAGTACTTACACATGAGCATCAAATGATATGTGATATGATACATAAAGTGTTGTACCGTGCATGTATGCCTCCCCCAGGTGTGTGGACATGGTGAAAAGTTCTCAGTATGTGGAGCTTGCCAATGATCTAGAGATAAACAAAGCTATCACCTACATCAGACAGAAGGACTTTAACCAGGTGAGTGTGTTTGTCTGAGCAGCATTAAGGACAATAACACCCAGTTTGAGGTGTCACTTCTGTGGTCTGTGGCAGGTAGTGGACACAACAGGAGCAGAGTAGAACTACAAACTTCACCTACCACTCTTGATGTTTTACCTCCACACTGAGATTCAGAGCTTTATAAGACATCAAAATAATGTTTGGTGACTTGCCTAAGTGGCAATTATGTTAGGTTAATGCAACACCCAGACCCAAGCTTGCGAATATTTGCCACTTTGTAGTAGATTACATATTTGAGAACATGCCGATCTCGAAGTTTAAAATCAAAAGTTCAAATCAGACTTTTCATGTGACCTCTTAAAAGTAAAAGATCAGTAATAGTAACTCACAGGTTTAACATCTAATGCATGTATGTGGTGCTTTTACACTGTTTACAGATGGTAGTGGTATAACTTGTAGCTGTAGCCTAGCTGGTGCACTGTCAGTGCTAACCTTTTAGTGATGCTGGAGAATATCCTCAATATATAAGGGACTTTTAGTGGCATATTTGAAAAACGTCATGTTGTGGTAAAAATTCTAATCTGGATTTAATGTGCTTTGCTTCCTTTACTGGTTTACTTTATAAACTATAGTTTAATAAAATGTACATTGAACTACATATTTGATATAAAGTATTCTAGTATTTGCTTATACAGTATGAAGAATATTTACTGAAAATGTGTACAGTAAAAGTGGTTTTTATGTTTGTAGGTGTGTTGCATACTGGGTAAAATGGCTTTCATTTCAGTTTACGGTATTTCTGATCACATGCTAGTACACTAGAAGAAAACCAGTGCAAAGTGTTGTTTTGACAGATTTTTACAATGTATTATCAGGCAATGGAAACTTTGAAGACATTTGAGAAGAAGGATAGCAGAGTGAAGAGCGCTGCAGCCACCAACCTCTCTTTCCTCTACTTCCTGGTAAGATCTTATTAACTAATCAAAAGGCTCTCAAATCAGACACTGTTTGCTGTGGAGGATACTTGAAGCTTGACCATCCTGTTGTAAAGTTGGCTAAATCATGGCAACAATTAACGGCTACCCTCTAATACTTTACCTGTTACAGGAGAAGGACTATGACCAAGCCAAGCGATACGCTGACCTCGCTATGAATGCTGATCGCTACAACCCAGCAGCGCTTATCAACAAGGGCAACACAGTCTTCGTCAAACAGGACTATGAAAAGGCTGCAGAGTTCTACAAAGAAGCACTAAGAAATGATTCCTCCTGCACTGAGGCCCTCTATAACCTGGGTACATGATACAAAACAGTGGTGCAGGAAACACACACAAAGTACACAAGGATCAGCCATTCATGACTGCCATGCAGAAAAGTCCTGTAGAGAAGACAATTCTTCTCATAAAGGGCTCTTGTAAAGTCGTACTAATGACATCTCCACAACAGTCACTTGACATCACTCAGTTAACAGCTTTCCATAAGATTAGCACATTCATCCAAAATCATTTTAGTAATTTGGTATGCGTGAGCCATGGTTATCTGCCTGGTAAGTTTAAACACTGAAGTGTCTGAGGTTGAGTCAATGTCTCAGGAAGTGACAGAGCTCAAGCTTCTATCTTCAAAAGTCTCTCAGTCATTTTTAGTTGCCTAGAATCTATCTGGAGTTCTGTTTTCCTACTGTGTAATTAAGCCATCAGAAATAGGTTCATGACCTGTTTAGAAAAGCAGTCGACATGAAAAATGTCCAGTGAATGTATGTCAAGCGCACTTTCAGGATTTGATGTGTCAAAGAAACCTGATACCAATACAGTACATCTGGATAGGGTCCATGTCAGATGAGCTATGGATTCAAAGTATATAAGTTGATTGACAGTTTTGGTTCCTGTTTGCACCAGGTCTAGCCTATAAGCAACTAAATCGTCTGGAGGAGGCTCTGGACTGCTTCCTGAAGCTCCATGCCATTCTGCGGGACAGTGCCCAAGTCATGTACCAGCTGGCCAGCCTGTATCCTACTGATAAAATGTGTGATTTGTTGTTTTCGGGGGCGGTTAACTGATCATCATTCCTCAGTAGATGTTGCTGGGATGGTATTTATTTAGGGTTCAAACCTGTGTACCTGCTGTCAGTTCTTGACACACTGGTCTCAGTTATGAGCTTCTGGAGGATCCCCAACAGGCAATCAAGTGGCTGATGCAGGTCATCAGTGTGACTCCCACCGACCCCCATGTACTTGCCAAACTGGGAGAGCTACATGATGGTGAGGGGGACAAGTCCCAGGCTTTCCAGTGCTACTCTGAGGTACGAGGAGCACAACAAAATGTTTGTTAAATTTGACATGTCAGCACTGTTGAACCATAAGTGGGTTGTGTTACTGTTCAGTCCTTCAGGTACTTCCCTTCCAACATTGATGTGATTGAGTGGCTTGGAGCTTACTACATCGAGACACAGTTCTGTGAGAAAGCCATTCAGTACTTTGAAAGAGCCACACTTATACAGTAAGTGAACGCTAGTTATAGTACTTTAGAAGAAGTCCCAAGGGTTCCAACACAGTCCCAACACTTTTCCTCCGTTCCTCAGGCATCTTCTCACTCTCTAAAATCCTGTTGAGCAAGCTAGAGTTTCTATCTAGTTTGTTCAACAGGATTTTAGAGAGTGAGAAGATGCCTGAGGAATGGAGGAGAAGTGTACTAGTGCCGATCTTTAAGAACAAGGGTGATGTGCAGAGTTGTAGCAACTACAGAGGTATAAAGTTGATGAGCCACACAGTGAAGCTATGGGAAAGAGCAGTGGAAGCTAGGCTAAGAAAGGAAGTGGATATCTGTGAGCAGCAGTATGGCTTCATGCCCAGAAAGAGCACTACTGATGCAGTTTTTACTCTGAGAATGTTAATGGAGAAGTATAGAGATGGTCAGAAGGAGCTGCATTGTGTCTTTGTGGATTTAGAGAAAGCGTACGACAGAGTGCCGAGAGAGGAGCTATGGTACTGTATGAGGATGTCAGGAGTGGCAGAGAAGTACGTCAGAGTAGTTCAGGATATGTATGAGAGGAGTATGACAGTAGTGAGATGTGCTGTAGGTCAGACAGAGGAGTTCAAGGTGGAGGTTGGGCTACATCAAGGATCGGCTTTGAGTCCCTTCTTGTTTGCTATGGTGATGGACAGGTTGACAGATGAGGTCAGACAGGAATCTTCGTGGACAATGATGTTTGCGGATGACATTGTGATCTGTAGTGAGAGCAGAGAGCAGGTGGAGGAACACCTGGAATGGTGGAGGTCTGCTCTGGAAAGAAGAGGCATGAAAGTCAGTCGTGGTAAGACAGAATAAATGTGTATGAACGAGAGGGAGGGAAGTGGAACAGTGAGGTTACAGGGGGCTGAGGTCAAGAAGGTGCAGGAGTTTAAGTATTTGGGGTCAACAGTCCAGTGTGATGGGGAGTGTAGGAAAGAGGTGAAGAGGCGAGTGCAGGCGGGTTGGAGTGGGTGGAGAAAGGTGTCAGGAGTGTTGTGCGACAGAAGAGTGTCAGCAAGAATCAAAGGAAAGGTGTACAAGACAGTAGTGAGACCAGCTATGCTGTATGGGTTAGAGACTGTAGCAGTGAGGAAAAGACAAGAGGCAGAGATGGAGGTAGCAGAGATGAGGATGTTGAGGTTCTCTTTAGGAGTGACCAGGATGGACAGGATTAGGAATGAGCACATCAGAAGGACAGCTCAGGTCAGCTGTTTTGGGGACAAGGTCAGAGAGGCCAGATTGAGATGGTTTGGACATGTGCAGAGGAGGGATAGTGGTTATATTGGTAGAAGGATGTTGGAGATGGAGCTGCCAGGCAAGAGGTCACGAGGAAGGTCAAAGAGGAGATATATGGATGTGCTACAAGAGGACATGAAGTTAACTGGGGTGAGAGTAGAGGATGCCGAAGATAGTTAGGTGGAAACAGATGATTCGCTGTGGCGACTCCTAATGGGAACAGCTGAAAGTAGAGAAAGAAGTCCCAAGGGTTGTTCTGTTATTTTGATAAATATCTAATTATGTTGTCTGGACTTTTCTGACAAAAAAGTGATTTGTGTCTTATTTCTTCTTGTTGCAATTGCTGTAGTCTTTTCTAATCAACCATGTAGCTGTTTTTATTTTTCCCTTGAACAACAAGGACAGATGATTTTGTTTAGTTTCCACCTGATTTCAGGTATGGTTTTTAGCAATCTCCTTTTTAAAAAGCGTGTGGTTTTTGTTCTTATTGAGTGAATGTCTGTCTGCTCTGTCTCAGACCAACTCAGGTGAAGTGGCAGCTAATGGTGGCAAGCTGTTACAGAAGAAGCGGTGAGAATGGCTTCTGTTCTTGTTTGTGCCATTGTATAACATGGCAGTTACTTGCTGTAACTGCCTTTTCTCTGCCTGTCTGATACAGAAAATCAGATCATATAAGCAGAGAAATTGTGTAGTGAAGTTATGTTTGTTTCGCTAATTTTGAGGAGGCAAGCGTTGGAAAAAGGATTCGCTATTTAACTTAGCAGTTTCAGAACCACTGACCTAGGGTTAAACAAAGATCTGTTTCTTTTTTTCTTTACAGGAAACTACCAGAAAGCTCTGGAAACATATAAAGACATCCACTGCAAATTTCCTGAAAATGTGGAATGTATGTTTGTTATACAGTTTTACTCTCAGAAAATACATCCATTGATCAGAGTTTGAAGAAAATAAAACATCTGTATGTGTTTGTGTCCAGGTCTGCGTTTCTTGGTGAGGCTTTGCACAGACATAGGATTGAAAGAAGTCCAAGAATATGCTACCAAGCTGAAGAAGGTGGAGAAGCTGAAGGAGATCAGAGAACAGGTATATGTTTCCTGGCTGTCACACCTTTACAGTTTTCTTTAAAACAGCAGTTTATATACTTTTGTGTGAATAAATGATGTGTTCTGCTCACCAGCTCTTACAGCCTGATAGTTTTTCTCCTCCCTGTGGGCAGTCTATGGCAGCTTTTACAGTTGTCATCACTTGCTTTGGAAAATGTGGCACACAGGAAGCTATTTATTTTACAGCTGTGAATTTTGTTAGGAAAAAAACTAAAGAGGAGGAATTGGCAGGAATCTCAGTGATTAACAGCGTTTAATGCATAACTTGAAACACGTCTAGTATGTTGACTTCAGATACTTGTACACAAAGTAACCTTTTATGATATAACATTCAAATGAGGTAATACATCTGAATAATATTAACATTTTGCGGCCTCATAAGTGATCTGCTTATTTTGCAGTCATGCATTAGACCTTTCAGGAGCTTTCATTAACCGTCTTTTCCTTTAATCAGTGCCACAGGTGTAGCTTACCTGCTGCAAGGTTGGCCTACTTTTACTGTAAGACCTACAGAGGGCAAACGTGTCATTTTGTCACTGCAGCTCCACAAATGCATGGAGGAGCTGTTTTCCTCTTTAGTTTTGGAGAATTAAAGATCTGATGCTGCATACAGTTGTTTGGGTTGTGTAGTGTCACCTGAAACATCTCGGTGAGCCTTGGTCCTGTGGAGGTATCTGAACCTAAACAAGATGAGGAGGATGACTTCTTCACATTACAGCCAGCTGCTCTTAAATCAGCCCAGAGTCGCTGTTGGACCGGAGACGTAGACTGAGCTAGAGGGTTGAATCATTAATCCCAAATTCTCCGAACTGAACAACAGTGGAAAAACTGATCCCACTAATAAAACTGTGTAGTATAAGAAGAGATGACTGAGAGAATGATTAAAAACTAATCAGTGAAGAAGATTAAATTACTGCCCTGTCTGATGCTTTGTTTATGCTCTTACAGTAGTTTTCCATGGCAGTTCTCATACATTTGCAGTGTTTCCCACAGAATCGGATTCAATCTGGGGGGGCAGCTCACGTGGGGGTTGGGGGGCTGGGCTTTCATAATTGTGTTTTTTAATTAATATAGTAATGCATATATATAGTAATATATATGTATAGTAGGCTACCTCTGTGCTGTTCATATGCCCTGACCTCTTGCAGTAGAGGGCTCCCCCACAGCCCCTCTTCTCAACACAAACTGGAACTGTAAGACCTGTTTACATGTGCTATTTAATTTAATTTAAGTATCAAATTCCACTTGAGTATTTATTTAAATGTCTCTGCTTAGTTTTTTAAATACAGAATTAGTTTATCAGTTTATGTAGTTTATTTAAACTTTATGAGACACAGTAGGAGAGATGAATAAAGAGGGGAAAAAGCACATTATGTGGAGTGCACATTAGAAACCTATTCTGATTTTAGATCTGTACATAGCAAAGACAGTTGAATTAATTAATTAAAACCCCGCTCATAGTTCTGTTTAGAATTATTTATGCCCTCGTCTTCATCAACTCCCCTCGTTGCTCTCTCTCTTCCACCAGAGGGTGAAGTCGGGGCGGGAAGGCAGTGCCAGAGGTCGGAGAGAAGGCAGAGAGGGCAGCGCAGGGAGTGCCGGTGAGTCACTAGTCACCACAACATACAGGGCTCCTGCTGTATTGTGTACCTGTCTTCATACATGCATTTACACTTTTAACAGCACAAACCTGAATCTTCACATTAAAGAAACATATATGGAAAAGTGTGCAGACACCGTGAACATAACATTTACCGTTTAGTAACACTTAACTGTTTATCCAGAAACTCCAGCAGCCATCAACCATGAGCATGACTACATGGATTGTAAGAATGTGTAGGTTTCTGTTTCCAGCATCAGTAGGCCTACTGTATATATTCAGTACTGTTTAGTTAGCCCACCCTCATTCTAAGTCTGTTTTGATCATGTACATCACCACTTTCCTCTCTTTTCTATCTGCTGTTCACATGCTGCTGGTCATTAGATGTCTCCACACCTGTTGTCACCTCTCCTAAGAAAGCCAGCATCATGGGTATACCTCAGTACACTACACAGAGCCTGGAGTAAAGCCTTTAGTTGTATTGTTACCAAGTCAAGTCAAGAATCTTTGTCATTATGCATAGCACAATGACATTTTTTCCAGCAGCTCTCGTCTTAACAGACCCATTATTTACATAACACACAATTGTATAAGTCAATATAAAATCATGAGCAAATAAAAAGGGATGTATGAGACCTAATCAGGTCAGCAGCATGTGTCATTTTAATTCCATAAGAGGAACTGTTAGGAAGATACAGCCACACATCCAAATCCAGCCTGCGATCCCACAGCAGCCCTGGCCAGGCCAAATGTATTTTCATGGTACAAATTGACAGTCTGACTGGATCGACTGATTCCCTGCATCCTTTCCTTGAATTTTACATATCGCAGGACCTTACAGAAGCAGTTTCAGAGCAATCATGTTGTTAAGCATCCTTTTTGAAAGTTTATTAAACGTTTGGGTAGGACTTAAAAGTTTAAATATTTAATGGGATTTTAAAAATACATTGTAGCTCTCTGGACAGCGACTAGTGTACATTGGGGAAATGGTAGCACAAATTTTTCAATGTGATGCAGACAAATCGTTTTGCTGCTAGTGCATGTTAGCTTTAGCGTAATAGACCTTTATGATTTAAATGCACAGCACAGAAAAGACACGTGTATTCTCATTCTAAATTTTCCTCACCTGACTCCTCCTCTACTCCTAAAACTGTAAAAGCCAACTCCTACGGAATTATTTTCCAATACGTCCAGCCAGTTTTGATGCATGAGGGTTAAAGTGGAGTGACAGTGACAGTGTAGCCAAGACTTTTTAGGAGGCCTGCCGACACTGAGCTTCAGGTCACAGCTGATGCCACAGAAGACAAACGTCCACAGTTTTATTACTCCTTCACTACAGATCCACAACAAATACACACTCTAGATTGGCTTCAACACTGGAAAGCTGGCTGCCTGGCTCATTGACAAATTTCAGATGCGATCCAGACAAACTCAGGAGTTGCCAACAAGTGTAATGAGGCCCAGCTTTGCTCTGCTATACAGCTGAATGTCTGTAGTGTCCTATGATGTAGCTAGATACATTGATCAGGTACCTGCTGATGTGTCTGCTGCTCCACCCTTCTAAGCCTTCCATTATTCCCCTGTGTCATCATAAATTAGATTAGATGACCATAAATTAGTGCTTTTGACCAGTAGTTTTGTAATGCCAGTGCTGTAACTGGGTCAGTTAAAACAAATGGTTACGGGACGTTTTTCAACACGGTCTCACATGTTTGATTTCTTTTTTTTTTTGTACCACTGAGTATTAATTATGACAATTTTTGATGACTCTTCTCACTTTCTTAAGGCATATCAGAGGATGTCAAAGCAGGTGAGCAGGGGGATGTTATCAAATACCAAAAGATGTTTTCAGAAGCTGTCATTGCACATAGCAGAAATATTACTTCTCTGTCTGTCTGTGCTCTTTTCAGTTCTACTCTGTAATGTTTATTTTTGTCTGTTTGTCTGGGTCCTCTGTCATCATCTGTATTCTTACTCTGCTTCCTCTTCGCTGCCCAGTAACTCAATCTGAGTCTAAACAGCTTGGTCCACTGTGAGTTTCAGGGAGAGGCTGTGTTTTGAAAACTAGTAAGAGAAACGTGCAGGCTCAGAAGATGGCACTGCTAGCCATTTGTTCATAAGATACTTTTTACAAAGAGATCTCACTATTAGTCATTTCTCAGTTGTCATCCAGAGAGATGTCAAATCTGCAGATTAACAAACTGCTCAATAATAAAACCGTGTCTTCTCTTTACTGAGTCTTTGAAAATAAGATCTCATGTTGAATCAGTTCTTTTCTTTTTGTCCTACTCCTTCTTACTGACACATCTTACTGTCCCCACTGTGATTTTGCAGAAACTCTAGGATTTTCTTTTTTTGGAATTGACGTTGAAAATATAAACACAAATGCAATGAAACAAACAATTTTGGGATGCTACCAAACCATCTTAGTGACCGGTGACTTTAAAAAAATAAATACTGAACTGGGTGGGTTTTCCCTTTAAGGGACCAGATTCCAGTAGAGAAACCCAGTGAAGAAAAAGTTTTCTTTTCTGGCTTTTTCCCTACTGTGTGAAAAAATTAATATTAATCATTTTTACTGCTTAAAACCATCTGACTGAAGCATTGCCAGTGACACAGCACCAAGTGAGTGACTTTTTCCATAGGCATAGTTGGGAAACCCAAATATAATGTTCAAATTCAAATGTATTTGTATAGTGTCAAATCACACCAAAAGTGATCTCAGGACACTTTACAAAGTAATGTACAAAGTATTATCACTATTATTATGGTGGAAAACCCAACTAATCCCCCTTGAGCAGCACTTTGCAACAGTGGGGAGGAAAAACTCCCTTTATTGGAAGAAACCTCCGACAGACCCCGGCTCTTGGTGGGCGGCCTTCTGCCTCGACCGGTTGGGGTGAGTGGATAGAGGAGAGACAAAAGAAGAAAAGCAACAAGACACAACAATCAAAGAGAATTCACTTAAAAACTCTGAATAAGGAGCAGGTGGACGGTATACAATAACAAACAGAACAGGCTTTTGAGTTTTCCAGTTTGGGTGTGAGAGACTCAGAGTGAGACTTTCAAATGAGTTATAACTATGTTTAGGTCTAGAGTTGATTAATAGGCTTGAGTCAAAGATCGCTGCCACACCTCCACCTCGGGCTGTGACATTTACTGTGACCAGGTGGAGTGGATTCATTTAGGCTGACATATTCTTCCTGCTGTAACCATGTTTCAGTAAGACACAATAAGTCAATGTGACGTTCACTTATCAAATCATTCACTAACGAGAGATTTAGATGAGAGAGATCTGATATTTAATAGTCCACATTTGATTGTACTGTTGTTTGGTTCTATAAGAAGAGTCGTCTCCATTTTAATTAGGTTCTTATGAATAACTCCTCTGGAGTTGATTCTTGATTTGTATGTTGTGGTCAAAACACCTGAACCTAGTCCAGAAATCTTCTGACAGGCTGCTGTGATGTTAGACTGTGTTTGCACTGGCTGCTCTCACAGACGAGAGAGAACAATCACCCAGACCTCTTTCAGATATCTGAGAAAATCCCGTAGGCACCTGAGAGTTTTCCATCTTTTCTGTAATGTCTGCATATTTGCAGGGCAGCACACTGTGAGTGTGCAGATTTGCAGCTCTCAAGTCACAGACTGTTGAGGCAAAGGGTTTTTTATCTCATGCATCCAAACCTGGGTCATTTTTTGATGTGAATTTGGCAAAGAGGGTGAAAATATGCGGCTCTTCCAATTCCCTCTACATTTTTTTTTCAGTTCTGTTTTTTTAATCACAACTTTTGTGCTGTTATTCTTCCTGTTCACACTCATATAGGTTATAGTTGCACCCACAGTGACTTTTTGAAGGATGTAACCAAATGTGTCTTGTAAATGCTGTACAGTATGTTTAGATTGAAGCAGCTGTTAGTCAGTGCTCCTTGCCTATAAATTTAATGTTTTTAGCCTCCTGTGACCTTCCTAGTGTTTTTCCAAATAGGTTTGAGGCACAAAGTGAGTTGCAAAATCAGGAAGTTGATCCATCCACACTGATCCACATCTCTGTCAAGACCTTGCTGAAATATTATTTGCGTTCTTGCTCTGGTGCTGTATAAAACCTACTCAATTTACCTTTAATTGTGGAAACCAGATTAGTTTTAAGTCCATTCTGTCATGTCACCTCTCTTTTCTGTCCTCCAGTTGTATGTTATAAAACAAAGGCCACTGAGATTGTTCAAGAAAAGAAAAGGAATGGGGGGAAAGTATTTTCCAGTACATTTCATTTTGCCAGCAGTTTGTGAAGTCTCATGTGAAATATGTGGGACTGTGAGTGAAGGTGAAACACCGAGCTGCCCTCTCCTTCCTGTTTTTCTGCCGTTGCCCTCGTCAGTTTCCAAGGCTACCTGGCAGCCATATGTGTTGGCTACTGCCGTCTGTAGTCATGTCTGTTCACTCTTCAGAGCGCTTTGTCAGCCTGAGTCATCTGAACCTTAAACAAACACACACATGTTGTATTTATTTCATTTTGTGAAGAGTGCTATATAATAATTGGGAGTGAATTTGGATACAGCCAGCATTTTGTTTGGAAAAAACTTGTTGTAACAATACCATCTTTTACATATTGAAATATGTTAAAAGTTTAAATTGACATGTTTGGACCTCGACCTGCGATGCTGTACGTCAGGCAAAATAAGCTCGGGAACCTGTGTGCTAAGGCATCTCATTGCCTTAACAGACATACAGTACACACACCCTCTCATACATGTGCATTTCATAACATGCTGTCAGCGTGAGATAAAGATCTCACATCTCCACCATGTTATAAAGCATAAAGCAGCTCAGTTTGAGTCTGACCATTCATTGTTGAGTTTTAGTTCAAATGAACTTGTTAAGGATGCCAATAGTTGTGGAGTTTCTTGCACCATATTGGACGTTGTCATACACAATAACAGCAGTAATATGAACTATCCTAAAATGTTTGGAAATGCATGTAAATGTACCTGGAGGACAGACATGCAAGTTAGGTTAAGTAATGATTCTCTCTGGTGTAATGGATATAAATGTTTGGCATATAGTGTTGCTCAGCTGGTAAATGGGGAGAAATAATCTGCTGCTGAATGATTGCGTGACCTAGTTATCAGCATTCATTTTAAAATGGGTTCATACACTGGGAAAGTTCTGCACGTCATTTATATTCAAACACACACACTACAGTCACAGACGCCCTGATGTTAGTCGTCACCAGAGCCAACAACAGATTCTGTGTTTTCCTTTAAATCACTCATATTCCAGTGCATTTGCTAAATTTCAGTGTGCGTGCTTTGTGCAGACAGCGGCCGCAGCAGCAGCAGCAGCAGCACTAAAGGAGAGCGGCTGAGTGCCAGGATGAGGTCACTTCCTCCTTCCAGTGAGCCCTATGACGGCAGCAGCCCAAAAGAACTAGGTGAAGAATATTTTCTCTCTAAACACCCCTGTAGTTTATTAACGTCACAAGCTTTTTTGCTCATCTTTGAACCTTTTGTGCTCTAGACTGTCCTTCAGTCATCAGTGTGTGTTCTTACATACAGCAGACAATTAAATTATTTAAATTATTTGACCAGTTTTCAGAGAGAATCTGATTGTCTTGGTGCCAACAACACACAAAGTTGCTTCTTAGTGTGTAGATTTTCACACAGCAAGGACACCAGTGGACTTTTAATGTTCCTTGAAATTGCTGTAACCCCTTTTATACTTCAAGCTGACAGTTACAAATTGTTAGCATGTTAGAACAACACAACAGAAACATGATGCTTAAACCCCATAGAAGTCCAATATGGAGTAGATGGACTGATGGGGTTTTGATTTGCCCTGCTGCATACAGTTGCATATTAATAGGGTAAGGTTTATTTTGCATTTACTATGAGTGTACGTCATCTTTTGTCATGGAGGTCATGGTGGGACATAAGGCAGTCCTAGTAGCTCTTGTGTCCTCCCTTTTTTTTGTGGGTTATTAATTATGGGTAGGATGTGAAAGACAGTACAGTACACTACAGTACTCGGTTAACATTTATGTATTTGAAATCAAGCTTAAAAGGTAAATCTAGTTTCACATCTCCTATTGTTCCTCTCATGTGTAGACGCGTCTTATGTCGACCCACTGGGGCCTCAAATGGAGAGACCAAAGACAGGGGTCAAGAAGCGTGTGGAGGAAGATGATTTTGCAGATGAAGAGCTGGGAGATGACCTGCTGCCGGAATAGCTGCTTCGACCATCTGCCTTCACTGCAGAGTGCGACTGATCTTATCTTTTGTCACTTGTGCAAGGCAAGGGCACAAAGTTTCACAACAAAAGCAAAAGATTCACAAAGATTTTGCAAATACCAAACATTTCACAATAAACACTATTGTTCATGGAAACGATGACCATGTCCGAGTCTTGGAGTGAGATGTCTTTACCTCTAAGATGTCGTTTGTTTTACACAGACAGACCTCCTGATTTTTAAAGCTGAGTATCTGTTGTACATATCCCTTTGAATACCCAACACGTGGGATGAATGTGTAAAATTTGGTTAAAGTGCAGTCTGTATTTGGACATTTTGTTGTGGCTCTGTACTCCAGAACAATGAAGCTGAAATAACACAATAACAATAAGACCAAAGTGCTGACATTTACATTTAATTGGAACACATGTTCATACCTGTCTGATGAAGTGTGGAGAAATCATCCTAGACTTTTTGTGAACACACACAGTTCCTCCCAAGGGGCCTACAACACTTGCCAAAAGCTACAATCCACAAAGACGGCATGTTTACCCTATAGTCTCCTTTTTATTTTAGGTTCAGCTTTGAGGCACAGAGCCAAAACAATGAAAAACACATCAAGGTCCTAATATTTTTGGCTACACTGTATGTTTTCCTGTGTGAGACTGGGGGATGTCTGGAAAATTCATATGAACACGTAGGCACCCAGTCTGGTTCAGGTCCTGTTTCACTCATTTTATAGCATTTTGTACTTATTCAAAAATACTTCTTTGTAGATAATTAATTTTTTTCTTGTTTGTTCATTTCATTGTGGTTTGAATACACTTCAGCATAAGATACAGTGCCATTGCGCACGTGTGGACCGAGAGCAACCGTAGAATAAAGTGTAAGTTTACAGCGATGTAACTTTAATGTGGTCAAAGAAATCGGCAAAGCTGCAATCGAGCAGTGTTCTACCAGTCAACTCATCTTTTGATTCGTTCAGTAAATGAACCATAGTTTGACCTGAAAGCCTGTAAAACTCCCCTATATTCTCCTCTGGCGAGCCACGCCATGTAGAATATATATATATATACAGTAAGTATATATGGCGACAATCCTTAGTGGCGGTGGAGATGGATGGACCGTGCTTTAAGCAGTTAAAATGATTATTATTATTTTTTTGATGGTGACCTTGGCTTGTGTGCATGAAACCAGAGTTGATATAAGAGGTTGGACACACAGTTTGTAGCCAGGATCCAGCAGCAGAGCGCACACAGCCAACACTCTGGACTTCCCACTACTTTCAGGCGCAGCTCTCGTGAATGCTGGGGCTTTTCTTGCCGGCTAGAGGTTGGCCATTATCTGTCACTGCTTCAGTCTGATTTAGAGTCGTTTTGAAAGGTGGACCGCGCTGTTGGTGCGCGCATGAACCCTTTCATTGGATTTACGCACACATCGCTGGAGAAAGTCGACCAGAATAGCGCACTTGGTGTGGCATTAGCTCGTCTCCAACAGAAAGCGGCAGCCGTAAAGCTCCCGATTTGATCATTTGTGTCTAAAGTAATTATTATTGTTAGCAACGCCGCGGAGGTGTTGTACCAAGATGCTTCCGGAGTTGGCCTGGCGGCGCGCCTGTGCCTCGGAGGACGCGCCAGAGCCGTGGACTGTTTGCCTGCTGTTGGGTTTAGAGCTTCTCCAACATTTCGCTGGATTATAACCGAGAACAGCAGCCTTTTAACGGCAAAACTGTCTCATCAAAGTCACGTGTGTTTTGACAACCTACTCTCATCTGTTAATAAAGCCGAGGACGGCGAATGTGATTGAAAACAAACAGCGCGCTGGGAAACCTTTTTCAGTGGATACGTATTTTGACAAAACGCATCGAGAATCGCATAGTGATGCTGCGTCGTATTCGCGTCCTGCTGTTACTGCTGCACCTGACCGTGCTGCTCCTGGGCTGGTCAGCCGGGGCTGGTCGGGTACGGAAGAAGGCCACCAGGACCCGGACCTGTCTGGACCTGCCAGAGGAGATCCTGGAGCAGATTTTCGGGCGGCTCTCAGTAGGAGTGATGAGCGCTTTCCATCACGCCCTGCAGCTGGAGCCGCAGGACAAGCTCAACCTGACCTGTCCGACCACCGCAAGGTCCCCAACCGAGAGCAAGACCCGACTCCCGGTCAATCTGCTCAGCATCTCCCCGTGGGCCTACAGGTGAGAGTAAATGCAGCTTTTATTTTTAATTCGTCACAAAGCTATAAAACACAGACTGCAACATTCAGTATTACTATTTGCGTAGCAGTATTAAACTGTTCCAGATGAACATAACACTTGGAGAACAAGTCAAAAATTGAGGTTTTGGTAAGTGGCATGATTTAATAGGCGTTTTATGGGTCAGTTTCTTTTTTGCTGCAGTGAGTCTCTTCTGGCTTCAGGTCTTCCTAGGACTCTTGTTAAATATATTGTGCAGCAGCAGAAATTCATTCAGCCACCTAATTAGTTTTTTCACTAAAGAAAAACAACACTGACTGCTGAAGAGAGCTGAGTTTAAAAAAGTGAAATATACAAAATATTCTCACACAAAGTTTGCAGACACACTTTGTGTTCATGTGTGCTTAAGATACAGTATTTATGAGCATTGGATAAAGATTCTTAAAAACAAAGATGCATTTGTTGAATGTATCCCTGCAGGATTTCGTATGACCCAACTAGGTATCCCCGGTATATCCCTGAGGCCTACTGCCTGTGTAAGGGCTGCCTGACTGGACCATATGGTGAAGAGAGCAACCAGTACCGCAGCACTCCAGTCTACACCCCCTCTGTCATCCTGAAGAGAACAGGTGCTTGTGTTGGTGGCCGCCACTCCTATGGAGAGATCTACATCTCCATTGCTGTGGGATGCACCTGTGTGCCGCTGCTGGAGAAGGAGCGGGACGGCCACAGCAGCAACCAGAGCACGGAGAGAGAAGAGCCCAAAGCCAAACGGCTCATCCCTGCAGGCAAGAAAGTGTGAAGGAAGCACTGCTGTCCAGATAAGTCTTTCTGCACCAGACCCACATTCGTTAGTTTCATCTTTCCCCTCTGACACGTTCAACACCTTGAGTGATTATACCTTGAAGTAGATGCCCCTGTAACTTTCCCTAAACAAGTACATATTGAATATTTGGATGGTGAAGGGTTTGGTACAAAGCTCTTGGATAGTTTCCTTCTCGAAGCAAATGAGGACTGTGTCCCTGTTTTAGTTTTACACATGACCTATTTGGTCCACTTTCATTCTTGACTTTGGACCTAAACTTAGGTTTGACCTGTATTTGTCAAAGATCTCTACAAGGATACAAAAATAAAAGTACAGCAAACCAAATCTGTTGTATTGGCTGGACCAGGGCCAAAATCGAGTCCAGATGAAGGACATGACAGATGAGGGGGATGGGCTTGGTCAAAATGCAGAAATCACCTCTCATGTATTTCTTGTAGCAAACCATGCAGATAGTTTTTGTTTTATTTGCTCAGGTTTTGAGAACCATGTGCCACAACCAAGTGTGTGCATTGTACTGAGGAGAAGGCAGAAATTTAAAACCTTGGCACATAAAACCAAACTATCTGCATGACTAGACACCAGCAGAAATACATAAGAACAAGTTATTTGGATGGACCAGTGCATAGAAAATAAAAGAAAGCAAATACTGATCAGCAGAATTACATGCCTCAGTATTATCCTGATCAACGCTGCCACCTACCGGCCAAAAGCTGTGCACCAGCTGAAACCTCAGATGATGCTCTGTGTTGTTCTGACACACTCCGGGATCAACTTTGTTATTGAAACAACAAATATTCCAGGTGATTGTAATGATCACAATGCTGCCAAGAAAAAAAAAGACTTGGACAAAACACTTTGAAATATGTCTTTACTTTACACTGTTATTATTATTATTATTATTATTGTTATAAAACATTCAAAACTCTGACTTCTCATTTTAAAAGTTTATTTAAATTGGTATTTTATTGATTCAATATTAAAGAATGAAGCCATTCATAGTTGCATTATATATTGATTTTTGGATGGATACGGTTCATTTAAAAATAGGAAAGCTTTTTCTGCTGAATTACTGTTTAACCCTATAAAACCATTTGTATCATATTTGATACGTGAGGTTTCTGAGCAAAAACAAATCACCAAAAATGCCCCATGTATCAAATGTGATACAAAAGGAATAAAAATAATCAAAATAATATGGCACCTCTATTCCTATATGCCTGGACTGTCTGTCTATGGGTATATGGCAAATAAAAATCGTGAATCTTGAATTTCGAATCATGAATTATATTTTGGATTTTGTTAAAAGGTTTAATAAACATCTCAGTTCCAAAAAATTAGAATGTTCTGGCTAGTTTTTGATATGTTGGGCTTTACAGGGTTAAAAATAACAGAATCTTTGATTTCAGATGATGATGACAGGAAAAGTACTACTGACCTAAAAACAGTGATTTATAAAAATGTAACCATGAAGTTGTTCCAAATCATGGTCTGACAGCCAAAACCTGGCTTCTGAACAGCCTGTTTTGTCCCACTACTCAAGAATCACTTGTTTCTCAGTTGTAAATGGAATTTGTGGATGTCAGTTCATCAGATTACACCTTTCACATTAACTATACAAACTAAATTTGCTCTTGTGTATTTCTCATTTTGCATTTTCAAGCTACAGGGACTGGTTCCATTTTTGTTTTAACAGCAACCGCTGTGATCACCAGATCATTGAAGGTGGTAAGAAAATAAATGCGCTACTATAAAAAATATCATCTCTCCAGTTTCACTTTATCCTTCCTGCTGCATTGCAGCCCACTCAAAGCACTTTCACACCATTTGGCCATTCACCCATTTGCACTCACACATTCACACGCCGGTGTCATCACCGGGAGCAACTGGGGTTCAGTGTCTTGCTCAAGGACACTTCGACGTGTGGACTGGACAAGCCGGGAATCGAGCTGCTAATCTTTCCGGCTCTACCTCCTTAGCCACAGCTGCTCCTGTTGAATCAACAGTTTGAGCATACACTGAACATTGTCATTTTCATGGAAGATTATTTACTACAGGACTGCTGGGCTAGACTTGGTTTTAGCTTCAGTAGGTGTACCCAGAAGCCTTAAGATTGAAGAGTTGGACTTGTGCAAACTTCCTGTTGTTGTGGGTATGTCAGCTAATTTAGCTAGCTATCTAGGCACCTAATTATTAAAATGACCCAATACTGGAGGGAGATGGTCAGAAAAGTTGTAAAACATGTATAAATGTTTAGACACATGTTGCTAACTTAAAATGCCACATGTATCATTACTGCTATTGATTTTAGCTTCTTACTTTAGAAGCCAAGTCGATGTACCTCTGTGGTGCTGCTCCTAATGTTTGGAACTATTTAACCATTACTCTCAAAAAAAAAAAGTCCTGAGTCAATGGAGATGTTGTTACTTCCATCTTAATCCACTCTGGGTGTACCTAATAAACTGGCAACTGAGTGTGCACTGTTGTTGGTGCCTTGTTTGTTCAACCTAGGAGTAATGCTGATTTACATACTGGGTAGGAGGGGAGACGGATCACGCCTGAACCCAGCCAATGTCTATAACCAGTGATGGAAAGGAAATAAGTTTATTTCACTACTGTACTTTAATGTGGGTGTGGTCTGCCTGATGCTAATTTATATAATTTAATTTACTTCTGACAGCTGTATTCACTAGTTATTTAAAGATTAGGATTTGACACATTGTATATTCTTAATTAAACCAGTGGTTTCCTGGCTTTGACCGCTTATAGAACATCAGTGTCTGGTTGGGGCCTTTTTGTTTTTATGTCTGATTTGAGCAGATCCTCTAATTTTTTTTTATTGAAAAAAGTAACATTAACAAAACTGTACCGAACATGGGAGACCAGACAACTCATTCTCAGTCAACAACTCGAATATGAACACTTTCAGTATAGTAACAAAATAGCTAATTGTATAGATGCTCCTCTCACCATCGATGAACTCCATAAAGCACAGATTTCAATGCCAGGGCAACAGTAAGTACAAATGGCATCAGGTCACAAAGTTTCACTTTACAGCAGGGTACCAGGCCCAATCTCACCATCTCTAGTTGCTGTTTTCATTGAGCCTTTAGCAGCAGCGATACGACAGAACAATATAATTAAAGGAATACAAGATACTTCCTCAGAACATAAGATTAGTCTTTATGCAGATGATTTATTATATTTACAGGAAACTTTACATATTATTAACACATTCTCTAAGATCTCAAACTACACAATAAACTGGAATAAATCCACCTGACTACCACTCTCTGAGGATGCCTGGGATTCTGCAGCTCAAGTCTCCTCCCCCCAATTCTGCACAGGCAACATTAAATATCTAGGTATTAATAACTCCCCCAGGATGTCAGAACTTTTTAATCTCAACTACACCCCCCTTGCTAAAAAAGATAGAAGATGATTTCAAACGCTGATCCAATCTTCCTCTCTCACTCAGGTCGAATAACTACTGTCAAAATGAAAACTCTACCTCAAATTAACTACCTGTTTTTTTGACCACTCATGGTCATGTGTCAAATATCACATGACCATGTGATATTTCAGTTTTTCTTTTTTTTTAAAAATCTGCAAAAAAATGTCAAACATTCTGTGTTTTTCTGTCAATATGGGTTGCTGTGTGTACATTAATGAGGAAAAAAATGAACTTAAATGATTTTAGCATATGGCTGCAATATAACAAAGAGTGAAACATTTAAGGGGGTCTGAATACTTTCCGTACCCACAAAATAACCCTAATAACTCAGTTGCAGACCTTCCTTTTCTACCAAACTCTATTAAGAAAATGAATCACTGTAAGAACAAGTTCAGAGGCTGAGGGGATGTCTTTAAAGCACTTTTGTCCGAACAGCATCTGAAATCCAAAGGTCTTTAATTTGCAATGACATAAAACCTCACACTGGAGAAGCTGGAAACCCCTAAATCTTTTACCTCTTTGCCTGATTACCAGCTTACATCACTGCCCACAACTCACATCCACTCATTTTTCACTGGTTGAAGAATCATTTCATAGAAAGCCAGCAAGTTACCAAATATTCCTTCTTCACAAGCCCCAGCTGACTGGTAACAGTTCCACTTTGACTGCAGGTGTGAATGCAGCACCTCCGTCCTCCACAGCTGTCAAGCGTCTGTGTGGTGCCCTCACGCCATCAGGCTGCTGCCATTTCTGCTCTGATCACCCAGTGCTCATCACGTAGGTCCAGCTCCTCAGCAGGTCAGAAGGCGAGTCGGGTAGTTGACAAAGCAGCGAAACTCATTGGACAAGTTTCTGCTGTGTTTCGGCAGGAAGCTGCACATTTTTACATCCAGGAATTCTTTGGCGACATTCTCCATGACAGCTCCTGCAGAACAGGCACAGACATCCAAGCTGAAAAAGTAAGTTGTTGCTTCTCCTCCTAAAATTTCAGTGTAAGATGAGTAACGTTACTTTAAAGCCACTGCGTGTTGAATTTGAAAACTGGACCGTGTCAGACAGCAATGCACGTCTGTGTACAAGTGTACAATTGGGAAACTGTTTTCTGATTTTGGTTTTCTCATTTCAAAATGAAAATCCATTGTTTGTCAAGTACACGGACCAGTACAGCCCAAATTTTAAAACGTAGCTATAGCACACTATTGTGCAGCTGGCTATAAGCAGAAGGTCATTAAATGTTTATTAAGGTACTATATTTGTTAACGGTAATGATTTCTCCTGCAAACACAACTTTCCTATTATTGCAGCGTTTCACTATTTTGACATTATCTGTTTAGACACCAGCCTCCACTTACAGTCCACAGGCGGAGTGGACAAACACTTATGTCTGCTTACAGCTACTTAATGGTGTTATAAACTCTTCAGGAATTTTTATATACTGCTATGAATGCTGAATAGGGGGTCTACAGAGAGATGATATATAGTCACATAAAAGAGGCTCCAATAGTTCTGAGTAAATATTTGACTGGGTTTTGAAATCTTTGACTTCAACTTTAAAGTATCAAACACCACAGGAACAGAAGAGAAGAATATGGAAGTACAGTGGTGTGAACAAGTGTTTGCCCCCTAAACCTAATAACTGGTTGGGCCACCCTTAGCAGCAACAACTGCAATCAAGCGTTTTCGATAACTTGCCATGAGTCTTTTACAGCGCTGTGGAGGAATTTTGGCCCACTCATCTTTGCAGAATTGTTGTAAGTCAGCCA